TATAATATATATATGACTGTCAAGTTCTGTGCATGTAGCTGTTAAAGTCAAGAAATTTTGTTGAGGACAAGTGGCATGAATCAAGCAATAAGTAAATCTCAAATTATTGCTGTAAGTCTTAGGATTGACTTGAATGATGCTGACTATGATTGTAAGTTAAGGTTTGCTTCTCATTCTATTTATTATCGAATTTGTTACTTAAGTTCGTCCAGGAAATTGCCCTGTGGGTATGAAAGCTTAATGATGAGCTTAATGATAGTCATTTTGCCCATCTCTATTCTTGGTTGTAATACCTAGTCGCACACATAATTAAGGGAGGATAACATGATTATATTTTTTAATTTTAAAAACAGTGTTGAGCTAGATAATCTTGCTGTGTTCAGCTCATCACCCTATCTGAAATGGTTTTTGTATAGTTTTTGCAAATGTACTGTGTTTATTGAGTTGTGAAGTTTTTGTTTCAGTGTTCGCTAGTGCAGCTGATATCGGGAAGGACTATGTCATTACGGAAGGTATGCAAAAGCGTATCACAGGCACTGCCTGCAACAGTAGCTTGGTCATTAATAATTGTTTGCACGGCATGCTTTTTTTATCTGCTCGCACCGGCTATAATTTTACAATTCTCGACATGGGGCTATGTTACTTGTGCTCTCGATGCTATTTTGTTTCTCTTCGTTATGTCCAACTTATTTATGGCAACCACTATGGATCCTGGAGTTCACCCTCTCGGTTAGTTCTTTTGATTAAAGTTAATGGTCAGTTTAATATGTAAAGGTAAGAGATGAAAAGAAAACAGTTCGAGGATTATTTTATTTATTACTCATATTTTGTGTTATTCAAAAATTGTTTTTTATGGGTGATAAAAAAAAAGGATTACGAGCATTAAAAGCTTAGTCAGGAAGTAAGTTATACTTGTTAACGCCAGGTATCAAAAACCTCTTTCAGGAAACCACACATAGTCTCTTAGACTTATAAACATTTACCACAAGATTTTTAAAGATAGCTTATAATTTACCTAAAATAATTTCAATTTTTTCGTTAAAATGTCTCTAGTTAGGTGCTCATTAGATGTCAATAGATTCTTATTGAAAATGACCCATCGCTATAGCAAGTGCTGCGGAAGAAACACAGTTAGACGACTTTCGTTCACCGCTTTATAAAAACGTAGAAATCAACGGTATCACGGTCCGTATGAAATGGTGTGTTACATGTAAATTCTATCGACCACCGAGAGCATCACATTGCTCCGTCTGCAATCGGCAAGTTGGCCTTTTTATTTGTTTTATGTTTATCATCTTTTTTAAATAAAGTATGTTTTATGTTAAAAGGATAATTTCGTTACTGTGATGCTATTGTATGCTTTTTTTCAAAGGTAGAGATCAGTATTTGGTTTCCTAAACCTTCTTTGTAGTTACATTCTTGCTTCAAATTCACAACGTTTTTGATAAAACGGATCCAATATTTTTATTATCTAGAAGCTGTGCACTGTGTAACAGATAAAGTTTTTTATTGTGCCGGATATTAAACTGTTTGGTTAACTTAGTGAAACATAATCTTTCTCTTCGAAAGATTTCATTCTCTCGCCGGAATTATATCTCTATTAAATCTTGTGTTGTTGCTTTATTATTAGTCTTTTTTGATAAGAAGCAGATGCAAAAAACACAGAAACAAAGAATTTTAGATACTTATTACCGAATACTTTTCTTTGTGTAGTATTCGCAAAGAACGAAATCTGTACCAACGAATTAGAATTAGTGTTGCTACAGCTGCACCCTATTTTCAGATGCATAGATGCTTTCGATCATCATTGTCCATGGGTGCACAACTGCGTTGGTCGACGCAACTATCGTTACTTCTTCTTATTTTTATTTTTTCTTAGTCTACATATGATTTGTGTTTTCTCGTTGGCGCTGAGTTACACAGTTCTGAATAGGTTTGTTCCATGATTATTTCAAAAAGCACCTTTCCTGTAACATTTGCTTTATTCCCGGAGTTAGAGATTAATCCACTTTTGATTGGACTTTGGAAATTGCATGGGTAATGTGACAACTCTGTCCTTTATAATGTTTGCTACAGGACAGATTTGCTAACAAGGCCAAATATGTGTTCAATTGTTCTGATGGCACTCTGTGTGTTATTGGCGGTACCTGTCGTCGGCTTAACCGGCTTCCATGTTGTTTTAGTTGTTCGTGGCCGCACAACCAATGAACAGGTATTAGCATATATGATTACACACTTGTTTCACATTTTACAGAATTTCATGCTCATTATTGTACCTGTAGAATACGTTTTAGGTAACGGGGAAGTTTCGATCGGGATATAATCCATTTACAATTGGTTGTTGGGGCAATGTTCGCCGTACTCTGTGTGCAAGTCAATATCCTTCGTATGTGCTTTTTTTCAGCACTGAAATATAGATAAAATATATAGGGATAACTGAGGCTTATCTTGAGTTTTCACACATATGCTAATTGTACCATTTCTATCCTCTTCAAGTGATAAACTTGGCTTATGCAGATAGTATTAATAGAAAAGCTGATTTATTTCCCCTTTTTTTAAATTTTCCTTTTCATTTTTCATTTATCAGGAAGGTCTGAGAATATGATTGCAAGGTTTTCAGCTTCGAGAAGGTGTTAGCAAAGAAAAGTCGAAAAGATGAAAAAGGTTCTAAAGATGGGATACCATCTGTGGTATATGTCCCTGACAAAAATTCTTTCTCTAAAGGAAGTGGACTTATCAGAGTGCGTTATTTATGAGCATTTATTTATTCAATATGTATGAATGTTTAATTCATTTGGTGGAACTTCATCATTTTTATTGTTAATAATATTTGGAATCTTCAGATGCGACAATTGTTATTAATAATATTTGGAATCTTCAGATGCGACAAGTACCAGAAGATGACCAGTCTGTTGGCACTGCAATTTCCATGGGCCAATCCTTTCATAAAGATTTTCCGGAGAAAGGATCGAAGTGTAATTTATTTGACGAGCAGGAGAATAAAAGTTTGCACCGACAAAGCGCTATATATCATGTGAGTATGATCTTTTTTTATTTGCTTTGTAAGTTTATCTGGTTCGAAACGATCTTAACAGAGAGCTTTCTTCTGCTTACATAATGAAATTTTCTTATGGTATTTTGTTGAGCAAACATTTCGCAACAGATCTATATCAGTTAAAATTTTATGTATATGGATATCATCTAATTATTAAGAGATTTCCAGTAGTATTTCAAAAATTAGCTATCGCGCAATAGACAACTGCTCCGTGAAATATTATTAAGTGCACTTTTTAAACGAATTTCTATGTTACCTGTTCTCATTTATATATCACTTTGCTCTGTGAGTGTCTATAACTATTGTACTTTTTTATTCGAAAAATAATTTCAGGCAGCTGTGGAGGAATCGATGCGTTCAGCTCACAGTATGATTACAACGCAGTGCAGCAAGGACGACAGTAAAACGTCCCCAGTTGCCATTAATGAAAAGGAATCAGTTCTATTGCAGGCTGCTCCAAGTGACTTTGAAGTGATTCGTTCGGAAAGTGTATTTGCTAATGTTAATTCAGATCCCGCTTGTGGTTTTCGATTTGTCGAGAATGGTGGGCAACTGGCCGATAATTCGAGACCTCTGAAGTTCACTGATGCAGTGCGTATTCATGAAAGTCTCAATGCCCACAATGTAAATTCATAACGTCGGTGTCTCCTTGTTCTCCCATATTGTCAAAAACTATAGATTTTGGAACAGTGCGATATCTCAGATTGGCTGTTAGGTTTAGTAAGTTGCTCACCATGCATAAGAGAGTGTGAATCTAATGACTATTCGTTATCTTTTTCTTAATCAAAAATTTGTGTTTTGCACTAATTTTTTGATTGCTCAGCTAGTGGTTGTAAAGTTATCCACTTTTTTAGGTGTCATTTTACTGCTTATTTATATTCTTGTAACTATTGGTCTATTTGAATGACTCCACTGCAGTTTCTTATAAAGATCCCTTCGTTTCATTCGTAATGTGTAATATTCTTGTTACTCCGTATAACATCTCACTTTGAACTCTGTTTTAATATCTCACTAATCAGGTGACTATGGTGCTTGTCCCTGGGAATGCTAATTTTTAATACGTTTAGATGGAAAAAGATTGAGAACAAGGAACACAGCACTATTAAGATATACAATGTTCGAGCATTTTCAATGTTTAATTTTTTTTTTGCCTTAGACATGCCAGTCACTGATAAGTCTCATGAACAGTTCTGTATTCATAATTTATTTTATACACTTTTATCATGTTGTATAGTTTCAGAGCTCTGTTTTCAGGGTGATGCCTACTCTTTTCTCGTTTCTGACACGCATAGATTGACTTTCTAGTATTGCTTTTTCATTGAGGATCTACACGCCTACGTGAATTAAAAGGATTTCCAATGTTCTAGAATTTATGTGATCTACATTACAGTAAAATGAGTAGTAATTTAGTCTTTGAACTGTTTTCCTTGTCCAACAAAACTCCTGCGATATAAGTCTTATTGGGTGGACATTAGCTCCTTTGATCTCTCATGGAGATAAAATTATTTTTTTAAGCTTTTTCAGTATAGAAATTTGTGATTGAATTGTATAGGTCTCTCTATATAATATTAATGAGATATATTGGCTCTCCAATTCGTACCACTTAAATTTTCGCAACTTTTAATCTAGCATACATTTGTCCAGGTTTTACATTCATTTTGTCAGCTTAGCTTTTTTAAAATAGTTTTTAACAATACATTTTGATTTGTATGGTGCTCGGGTTGAAAAGCAGTTGTTTTATATGTTATTTGTATCTTGTAATTATGAACTTATTTCATAAGCTTTATTGTCCATGAAAAATTCAGCTGAGTCTTTAGTGAAAATTTAAGCAATTTTATTTGTTTTGGTCATATATCATTAGCCTCCTGCGACATATGCACAGATGTCGTCAAGTTAGCGAATGAGTGCGAAAGGGAATTATTATTTCGTATCCAAGGAAATCCCATATTTGAATATATTTTAAACATGTATGATTGATTTTTATTCTGATACAGTTCTCACTTATGGTACTAGTCGTAAGTCTTTCTTCCTTTCTCCCAGGTTTTCCTCAATTCCATTTAGATTTTGGGTTTTAGCTTCAAGCTTTTTAAACTTTGGTGAGATTACAGAACAATTTGCAGTTCCGAGTGTTTTTTTCCGTAGCTGATAGACTGATATGTGTATGATGTAACAAAGATGTTGACATCTTTGAATATCTGATCAGCGGGTTGCCAGCTATCATGCTTACTTTCTTTTTGCTTTGTTGCGTGATAGGTATTACTGAACCGTATGAGTGCAGTACCTCTGAGTGCTATTTAATTTTTGAATGTTTTATGTTTTACCTATCTTACTGCTATTGCATTGTCGTCCATATGTGCTATCAATGAAGAGTATCACAGCATCTCGTTGGCTTTTAATCTTCAACCCTATCTTCTATGCATAATTATTGGTCGAACTACTTTAACAAAATAAGATAAGTTCGGTTTTATCCGAAAAATACCTTAACTTGACAGTCGTCAGGAGTGCCTATATAAATAATAGCTGAAGATCGTGGCAGATCTTATTAAATCATAAGAGGCAATTCCAACCGCTTAAATATATTATTAGTTTATCACATTTTGGAAATATAAGATGAAAGATTATTTATACTGCTGTATTTTAGTAAAAATCATTGCATACATACCTTGCCCCTCCTACATCATTTAAATGCGTAAAAATATATTCTTGTGGTAAACAATCATAAAGTTAAGCCTAGGGTTCTACCCATTCGTGGCAGATCAAATTTTTCTTACGTCAGTATAGAAAGTTGATTATCCGGCCCTGAAAGGAGGGTTCTATGTCAATAGCACATAATATCGTCGCATTTGTTAAAATTACTGATTCAAATTTTTGAATATTTGTTTTTTAATTAATACAAAAAATCCAATAATTAATTATACAAATAGATGAGCCATACAAATATATGTATGAAGAAGTTTGGCTCTTGATATGTTAGACTTTAAATATATGTTTAGATCATATCAATAGGAATTCAATACTTTGAATATGAAATAATTTGTTAATATAGCATTCATAGAAAATTATTAAAACGATATGATGAAATATTTTACACTCAGGTAACTTAGTTGTTTCGTCACATTTCTTTAATGAGCTCTAATTGATGTACTATACTGTCAGCTCGTTAAAGGACGAAACAATTCATTTATTGTTTTAATGATCTTTTTAATTGTACAGTCATTAGAATTTTCCATTTGACCAGTTTTTTTTTCACTGTTCTAATGTTATCTCTTTTCCATCATCAATTCCTATACTCCCTGTCTGATCATGAAAATATTCCTCAGATTGAATCTTTCCCAATGAATTTTCCTTCTGATGAAATTTAAAAACTATTATTAATATGAATGATAGCATGCTTATTCAACAGTTGTAATTAAAAACTGAAAGAAATAATTTTTACTCTATTTTTTAGATTATTAAATCCAAGTTTTTAATAACCTATTATCATATATACATATATTATTGTTTATTCATTCTTTAATTGCCTTTCATAAGTTAAAAACTTGAAATGATCTTATCATATCTGGAATTTTCTAGAAATTAATGATATTTGAAGGAGAATATGAGGATGGATCAATTGTATGAAAAATATTTCAGAATTTAAAGCTAATATTTTATTACACTTGATACTATGCTATTCATCTTCACTTGGAGAATTTAAAAATTGTTTATCTGAATCGTTATTATTATGATTAAAGCAATAGTTATAAAATCAATTATGACAAAAAAGAATTTTTAGAAGTGATGCAGAATGGATTATTTAATGTTTGCAAACCATTAATGCTAAGAAAGAACGAAGTTTATTTATGTATAATTCATAGATCATTTCTTTTGTCTATTACTTCTGAAAGTAATGAAAATCGAAACATGAAAGTAATTTTGGATATATACTGGAAAATAATTAAAACTTCTTCGTTTTTAATTTAATTTAACAGAATTTGATGAATCCTATTTCACATTTACCTTTTTTTTAATTTAACTAATTTACATTTCACAAATTTCAATATGTACTTGTTGCATTAATTTGATCGTTCAAAAATATAACAATTAAGACATCTTGACAACGCAGTAAAACTGGTAACTCAAATGCTAATGGCAAATAATATGGTAGACGCAGTTGGCAGAGATGGAAGTTAGGAACAAATCAATCATTCAATATTATTTAGGTATGCTAAAAAGCAGGTAATTAAGGAGGAAAAGGTTGAAGATTAGGTGTAATTTCTAAAACTACACCTCTTTGAGCACAGGTTGTGTGTTTTTTATTTTTGATGAAAATGAAAATAAGATCTTATGATATTTCCATCCTACCATATTGTTGAAAAATTTCTTTTATTAAACAATAATTACTGTAATACCCCCATTAGCTTGACAAAAAAAATAATATTAGGCTAGCTGTATTTACATTTCACTAGATTACTGTATATTTTTAAAGACTTTTCCCTTTACAATAACTATAAATATAATGTTATAAAAACTTCAATACTTGCTTTGGAGCTTTAAAAGTAATGATAAGTGTAATGATTTTCTTTATTGATGGATCATAAAAAAATGAGTCTTATCAAAAAGGACTAAAATATATTTATCTGAAAGTTTCACTTGCTTTCTTAGAACCTATTTATATCATTACTAATTTTCATCTTCAAATTTCTTCACAACTCATTAATGAGTTCACTCAATGATTATTTTATTTTTTCCGCTTTTCCTAAAATCATATAATCAATAAATATCGTTTTGTATTCTATTATCATGATTCTGAAAATTTCCTCCATTCTTGAGAATGATTAAAGAAGATGATGGTAATAAAGCTGAAAGACTTATTATTGAACATACGCATTTGTATACTTTTGCTTTAAGATACTTATGCAGTGATAAGTACAAAAACCGTATGAAATTTATCTCACTGAAAAAAATGAATCTTGTCAAAAAAGACCGAAATAACTTAATTGATAATCTTCACTCCTTCTCAAAATCTATTTATATCATTCTCGATTTCCATCTTCAAAATTTCCTAAACTTTATCGCTCAGCTCACTAATAAATTACAACTATTTAAGGAAGCGATACTATGAAAAATTTAGCAAGATCAGGCTCTATATTATCAAGATTCTGAGGATTCCCTTTTTATAACTATTGAAAGCTATAAAGGATCAAGAAAGCTAGGACACAGCATTATCAGGTTTCTAAAGATTTTCCCCCTGCAACGATTAAAGAATGCAATATCATAAAGGACTAAAAAAAGTTAAGGCACTATATTAACAGGATTCTGAAGACTTCTTCATTATAGCATATAAAGAAGGTAGCAGTAAAATGGACTAAAAAAGCTGCAATATCTACTCTATAAATGATCACAGGTAATGAGTATATGTATGAGTTTGTGCACCATTTTGCAATGATAAATGCAAAAATCATATGGGAAGTTTTTTTGCTGATAGGTTTGCAACTGATGCCAAAAAATGATCGAAATAACTTATCAAAAACTCTCAATTACAGTAACACCCATAATTTTATCAACTTGGGGAAAAAAATTGATACAACGCCATTGCATACTTTATTTTCTTAGGTAGGATAAGTGTATCCTCTATATTATCAAGATTTCGAAAACTTCCTCTTTTTACAACTTTTTACAACTAGTTAAACAATTACATATTTGCATATTGACTGGTGTTATTACTGATGGAAAAAAGAAGTTTTATGATATTTTCAACTTATATTTTTGCAATGTATTTTTTGTAATGTACCATATTTTTGTATTTTTGCAAGTATATTTCTGTAATGTCCAAGAATGTACATTTTCTTACATAGCAATTATTGCAATATCGAAAGGTTGTCAGTTCGATGAAAAAATTTGAGAAGGCTATTTTAGATGTCACTTATAAAGATTCTGAAAACGTCACACTTTTTTACACTGATTAATGAATTTGATTGGTATAAGAGTGAAGAATTTATGAAGTAATTATATATATATATGTGTGTGTGTGCAATTGTTTTTCTAATTTTTATTTGCCATAATGATAAGTGTAAAGATCAAATACACTTGACGGTTGTCATCATGATCGATCATTGCAAAGATCGCCATCATGATCGATCATTTTAAAGATGAAAACTTATCGAAAAAGGAATTAACTTTGTCATTAAAACAGCATCAAATTGAGGAAGTACTTTATTGATGATTGAGAGTGAAGAGGGCAAAGTACACCTTCTTCTTTTCATAAAAAAGAAAGGTCTCTTCATATTCGTTTTGTACACCTATCATTCGTCAGCGATAAAACTATTTACTTTTATTTTCTCCATTCTTCTTTTCTTCCTTTATTCCTTTCTTTCGCATATTATTTGTATTAATTTAATTATTGTATACACTGATTTGCATAACTGTTTAAAATTAAATTTAAATCTAATTTAATTATAAAAACTTATATATGCTAATTTATAGCTTATAGTCATTTATTATATTTATGTTCTAATTTTTGAATTTAAAAGGTGCTGCAAAACGTAAAAAAAAAACACTCAAATTAGGAGAAATATAAACTTAAAATAAGAAATGAATTTTTTTGTCTTTGTTTTTCTGATAAAGAAAATTATTTCCTGTATCATTAATTTTGATTTTTGGTTTGATATGTACAACAATACTATTTCATGAACTGATTTCCAGTCTTTCTATTTAAATATAATTGAGTTGAAATTGATGTCAATAACAATTATCATATTTCAACAGTTTTTTTTGAAATGATCTTAAATATCAAATTCAGAATTATTTGAAATAGTTAATGCAATCAATATCATATATCCGATCTAAAAATCCGCAGAAGCTAAAGAATTAAGTTGTCTTAGCAATTGTAGCATTTTCGACTATTAATTATAAATCGAAATTTGATTGTGCATTTGCTAAAAAATATCAATTGTTGGTTAGTTCTTCCGAATTGTGCAACAAGGAGAAATGTCAACACTAGTAGAATTGTTTCGTAAAGCAGCAAATCAAGCAGAGCTAAAATCAAGAATTGTCGTTCGTGATGGAGATACGAAGTGGACGTTGGCTGAATTGGATATGATGTCGGAAAAATTAGCAAAACATTTCGTGGAAAAATATGGTTCTAAGAAAGGAGATTGTATTGGCATCTATATGAACAAATGCGCATTCTATCCATTAGCTTATACGTCTATTCTAAAAGCTGGTCAGTTTGAATGCTCATCAGAAATTTGAATGGTAAACTTGGAAATGTTACAATATTTTTTCTAACTACAATATTTTAATATGGCATGATAAATGATAGTAAGTGAGGTGATAGGATATCTGATATGAAAATTGATGAAATTAAAATTTAATTTTCGAAAAATAAAAATAGTCAAAAAATGTCATTGCAAGCATACAATAGAAATTTTACTTGAAATTTTTTAAATTTCTTTCTTCCTTATTCTTTCTTCTAATTATAATGCCACTGAGTGTTAATCATATCAATAAATTTAAAAAAAAGAAATTGAAACTTAAAAATAAATTGGAAAACAAATGTAGAAATGTGAAAAAGTCTACAGTCTATTTATTCTTGCTGAAATTATTGAAAGAGAAGATTTTAAAATATCCTATAATATTTGCAGGTTGTGCTTATATTCCTTTAGATATCTTCTATCCGCAAACTTTACTAATTGAAATTATCAAGGAAATTAAACCAGTGGTCATTTGTACAACAGCGGATATTGCTGATCGCATTTCAGGTAAGACAAATTATTTTTTGTTCATACTTTTTTGATATTGATTTTTCAAGCTTTTAAATTTCAATATCAGATTTGGCACCGATGTATATATTTGGATCCTCACTTCCCAATCCGTCAGAGTCCATTAAATTACCTGAAGTTGGTCCTGACGATCGTGCTTATATCGTTTATAGCTCTGGCACAACCGGTAAACCAAAAGGTAACTTTTTTTTGTTATTGTACTAATAATGAAATGCCGTATTAGCTAAAAAAATAATTATCGGAATTATAAATTCACTTTTATGATATTTTAAACGCATGTATTTCAAAAAATTTTCAATATTTCAAAAAACATGATAAAAACAAATAGCATAAAAACTTTCGGATTCTTAGGTATCGAATGCCCACATCGCGGTGCTGCTTTTTCATATCAATATCGATTTGTCGAATACCCGTATGTGGAAAATGAACGAGAAGCTTGCAATGTATTTTTTGTTTGGGAATTATTCAGACCGATTCTCCAAGGTTAATTTAATTTGAACCTTATCTGTCGCTAACTAAGCTTCTTCATAACGACATACACAAAACATACGTAAAATTATGATGAAGTAATAATACGTATGATTTTGAAATAGATTCTTAAAACGATATTGATTTAATCAAGGAGTTTTAATATTTGATTAAAATTGATATATTTCATACAAATATATCAACATACACAAACACTCAGGAAACGGTATTATACTATGCTAAAAATGAATTGATTGAAAGATCACTAAAAGGATATGATAAAAGGTCATTGAGGAAATCATCAGATCAAATGGTTAAGTACTAGGTCAAGTGCTGCCAAGAAAAAGAATATAATATAAAATTCAGGAGTTGAAATGTATGTAATACCGGACAATATCATTTATGACATACCGGAATTATGCCGTTTCCTGAGTACCAATAAGATCACAAGAATGCTGTTTACTCCATCATTGCTAGAAGCTGTTCTCGATAACCAATCTGACGAAACAATTCGATCATCATTCCGTTCTTTCCGGTATCATTCCAATTTATGATATCAGCAAATCTTTGCATAATCTAAATCTCATTTATTTTTATCAAAAAATAGACCTAAAATTTCTAAAAGTTCTCATCTGATTGCAAATGTATCGAATACAATATAATCAGCTATAATAATTTTCTTTTCATCTAATTATCCGTAAAATCATCATTTCACATGGTTCATTTGAGATCTTTCGCATAATCGATCAACCTGAAAATTTCAATCATTTAGGACAATACTGTTATGCGGTGAGGTAGTGACATATACCTTATTGAAGCGAATTCTCGAAACCTTACCCAAAGTGAAAGTAAGTTTTTTAAGTCTTTTTTTATTTTCAAATAAATTCATTTTTTATAAGACAGGAAGTTAAGTGAAAGTTTTATATTCTTTTTTCTTCAAAAATACTTTCTAACATAGAATTGTATGAAATTTCTTCACTCAGAAACATTTTCACAATGTGCTATTTATATCCATCAAAAAATTAAATTAATTTCATCTAATGCATAAACTAATTAGTGGTAATGTTCAGGTCTTAAATTTATACAGTGTTTCTGAATGTCACGATGTATCTTACTCTAATCTTACGGAAGTCTTCTACACGGAACCATCAAGAAAGTATGCTCCTGTTGGTAAAGTAATCCCTGGAGTTAAGGTTATTGTCATGGATGCTTCCGAGGAATTGAAAGAATTGCCAATGGGAGTTCCTGGAGAGGTAAATACCATTTTTCTTTAAAATTTTTTCAGAAAAGAAAATTTAAAATGATATCAAAATTGTTGAATCGATAGGTTTATCTCTGTCCCATTCAAAAAACGCAATAATATTGCTGATTTCCTATCATTTTCGAGAAGTTATCGTAACATTTCGCTTTTGCAGATTTTTTTTGCAAAATATTCCGATATGGACATAATCGAACAATGCATTTATTTAAAGAATTTCTGACACATCAATTAACATGTTTCAGATTTTTGTGGGTGGACCAGCATTGGCAATTGGATATATTAATCGACCAGAATTAAATCAACAGCGGTTTATAACTGTACCGGTTGAGTTGAAGGATCGATTAGGTGAACGTTTGTATAGGACAGGTGATTGGGGATATTTACTTCCTAATTCAGTCTTGGAAATTTGTGGACGTTGTGATACGATGGTGAAAATTCGTGGTTACAGTATTGAAATTCTCGTTCGTTTTATTCGTTTCCAGTCTTTTCTTCATTATTATTTTAGAAGAAATTTCTAAATTCGATTTGTTTTTTTTTCTGCTTCTAATAATTTCAAATTTAAATAGTTTAATTTCATTTCACAAAAAAGATATGTATAAAATTTCCAGGCTGTGGAAGCAGTAATTATGGAATTACCATACGTTAAAATCTGTGTGGTATTAAGTATTGGTTCAGAAGGTGATGATAAACAACTTGCCGCATATGTTGTGTTGAATGAGAATATCACAAGAAAACAAATAAGAGCTGATTTAAAGAAACGATTACCTTTTTATATGGTACCAAGTTATTTCGTCTTTTTACCCAGGTATATATTAATTATTTATTGAAATATAACTTAATGATATTAGAGTCTAAATAGATCATTATTAAAATATGCACAAAAAAAGTATCACATAAAATTAAATAACCTGGAAAAGAAAACAGAAAAGGTAGAAAGAGATCAGATGTATATTTATATTACTGCGCAAATTTATAAGACATTTCAAAATATACAGAAAAGGAATTTTTTAGTTTACCAGTAGTACCGGCATCATCAAAAGTTGACAAAAAAGCATTGCCACCTGTGGATCTACAAAAAGATGCAGTGGAAGCAAGTTCGCTTCCGAAAACTCCAACAGAAGAACGATTAGCTAAGGTTTGGGCTGAAGTGCTATCGCGAACTGCTATCGATATTCAAGAAAGCTTTTTTGACCTCGGAGGGTAAGTTTGGAATATTTATATACAATTAAATTCGGGAACGATTTAATCTTGTTAAACTAGTTTAACTATTTGCCTCTTCTTTCTAATAATCAAAAGTAAGACGGATTAGCAATTTGAATATCTTGGAAAAAAAGACTTTTACACGATTGGTATAAAAATAGTTATATATTTTACATTCACTATATCTACAATTTTGTAAGAATATAGTCCTTTCATAATATCTGTGAAATATTTTATTACTTGACAGCCTTTTTTAAAGAGAGATCCATTATACAGCATCTCTTTTCAATATGTGAATATACACAAACATTCTTAATGGTATGTGGATAATATGCTTACTATACGGTATCCTTTTTGCCTCCCTTCCAGTTTTCTTAATTTCTGAATTTTTAATATTTCTTTATCTTTCATAATACAATTGTATTGTATTATTCATCCATCAAAAAGATAGCGTATAGAAAATGCAATAACTCTCAGATACTTCCTGTCTTCTTCTTTCTGTCTCATATTAATCAACATCTATCATATTATTGTACTTTCAGAGGAAAATTGATAAGATTAAATTATATCTTTCAGACATTCGTTATTGGCAGCTCGTTTGTTGCATAAAATTGAGGAGGAATTTGGGATACAATTAAATATACGTGAATTATTTGCTACACCAACCGTATCATCATTAGCTCGACGTATAGATAATATAGATGATAATGATAATTTGGAGCATGTTGATCTAGCACATCAAGTTAATATTCATGACTTCAAAGATAACGTGTATGTTCAAATCTTTTCAATTTAAAATTAACGAAAAAGAAGAAGCGGAAAATTAGTAGCATAAATGATAAGTCGACTTAAAATTCATTCGTTGGCATTATGGAATATAAAGAAAAGATAGATGAAAAAAATGATAGAATAAAGAGAAAATTGAATATCAATATGAAAATTACTGATCATATCATTTGATAAAGTTTTAAAAAATACAAATACTAAAAAGAATCTTTCAGAAAATTATTTATTGAATGTCTTTGAAATTAGAAAAATAGATAAGAAAGATTTTTATTATAAATTAAGCTTGGAGCTTACATATTTAAATTTAAATTTGAAATTTATTACAGGATGGACTTACATTTACGCGCTTTTTGGCGTTCCACCGATTTAGACTACAACTTCTCACGTGATATCGTATTACTAACTGGTGTTACTGGTTTCATCGGTTCTCATTTACTTGTTAAACTTCTATTTACAACTGAGGTATCCATTTAAATAAATTCATGAGTAATATTCTTTGAACGGATTTTTCTTTATAAATCACTATGATGTTGTTTTTGTTATCTGAAAATTAAGCATCAGATTATAATAGGTAATGAACGAATGAATTTGAAATGGTCATAATGATACGTATTGGATGAGTTGATACTTTGCATAGCTAATTTAATTTCTATTGTTCAAAACAATTTCATTTCACAAAGAGATTGAAATTTATGAATTCATTTATTTCAGATGCGAGTTATTTGTTTAATTCGAGAAAGCGCAGGTGTAACCACACATTCCAGGCTTATTACGAGTATTGAGAAGATAGGTTAAGATATTTCATTTCGATTTTATTCCAAAAACTTCTTATGGTTATAATTATTTCTAGAAATTAAACTGAAGATGATGATTTACTTGGTTTAAGTAAAACTAGACAATAAATAATTAACAAAAGCTAAACTTTTTCGTTTAAGTTCATTACGCTTAAATAGATAATTCTAATAATTATGCGCAATTCTTTCAGGTATGTTGACAAATACGCTAAGCGATTTAATCAAAAGTCGAGTTAAAATAATTTCTGGTGATGTGGCATTGCTACGATTAGGTCTTAGCGAGGAGGAATATTTATTTTTGACCTATAAGGTAGATGTGGTAATTCATGCCGCTGCTTATGTGAATTTAATCTTCCCATACCAGGTAACTAATGAAATGATATTTCAGTACCAATTAAAACAAATCAACCGTAGTAGTGAAGAAACAAAACTTTTGCAACCTTTTTTCAACTTATGATTATTTATCAGAAAGGAAAGGATGATAGAGTAATGTAGTGATTCTATTGAATATTTGTCAAATATTAGCGAAATATTACCCAAATTTCAGTAATGAAAAATTTATTTATAATTTATATAGATTTATTAATAGATTAATTTTTAATTAATATAGGCTTTGCATGGTATTAATGTTTTGGGTACACGAAATGTTCTGGACTTTTGTCATCAAAATAAAGTAAAACCACTTTATTATCTAAGGTAAGAGTTGTAATTTTAGCAAATTTACTCCTTCTAATATGAAAATATCTTAGAAGTTACATTCTCATCGTTTTCAGAATTAATTTTAATAGATAATAATATGAAATGATATTTTGTGGCTATTTTCCTGTAATTTTATTAAACGAATTACTGTAGGACAAACTGTTTGTTTTTGATATAAATATATTCATATCAACAGTGAGAAATTTAATTGGACATTTAAATAATTGCATCTATTGTCTACTATTCGTTCATCTATATGATGCATTTAAATGAATTAAAAATAACATAAATTATAGTTTGCATTTTTTGCAGTACAGATGGAGTGATACCATCAAATTTAAAAGATGTTGATGAAAATACTGAAAATGATGATGTGCAAGGAAAATTGATAAATGGTTATGCTCAGACTAAATGGGTAGCTGAAAAATTGGTATTAAATTCACAGATACGAGGACTTCCAACAGTCATCTTTCGACTTGGTTGGTTATTATTTGACTTATTTATTTATATCGCATTTCTCTTTCTCTTTCTCTCTCTCTCTATCTTTTATCAGATAGTTATGTTTTTAAGTATTATGATTAAAGTTTATTATTGTAGATGAAAGGAAAAGAAAATAGGATATAAATGAAAGATGATTGAAGAAGTAGGGAAAGTTTCAGGGAATCAGGCAGCCTCAATGAGTACCGGTGTATGGAATAAGCAGGATTTCATTTATTTGTTAATTTGTTGTTCCATTCAATGTAAAATGGCTCCAAATTTGGACTGGGTGGTATGCTTTTCAATTTACCTTACTTTTTCACAATTAAAACTAAATGAAATGCGCAAAAGTCGCACTCAATCATTTTTGGAGAAAAATAATTAGCTAAGTTGCTTTCAAAAGAAATATTATATATATATAATATGTAATTGGTGACAAATAGTCCGGAATAGAAAAATTGATGATCATTGGCGTATTTTGATTGTGATAGCTACACGATAGTGTAAGGTCAATAGTATATCTATCAGTATAATTCAAAATTGACAAATTATGTTGTTGACTAATATTTTATGAAATAAATTTGATGTTGATGACAACTGGCAGCTACTTTGTCAAAAAAAATTTTTCTTCCATTTACAGGTTGAATTAACACCTGTTGACTTCAGTGCTTCATTTATTACACAAATTTTAACAAAAAATTTTCGTGCCAGTATGGGGAAAATATTTCACTTAACAAATAGTGAAGGACCAAATTGGCGACAAATAGTTAATTGGATAAATGATTTTGGCATTCCAATGAGATTGATACCTTTACAGCAATGGATTCAATTGTAAGTTAGCATTACTTTATTATGTAAATATGAACTGTATGATTCTCTTGATAGGAATCCTAAAAATACTATCAACAAATTAAGATAAGTCGATGCCTTTTTTTATCACTGATAACACTGATAAATCTATATTAGGAGATGAAATTTTAAAGTATAATAAGCAAGAAAAATCAACTAATCTTTCACATAATGAAAAGATGAATATTTCAGAATAAGTACAAGTGAAGGAACAGAATGTCAACAAATGCATAAATTACTTCAAATAATGATCAAGTAAGAGTTTATCTAAAAGATTAATTTTAATCTATTGATTATTTCTGGTATGAATCTCTCCAATTCATTTTCCTTTTGAATAGAAGTTTTTGAGGAATTACTATGTCTGTGTTTGCTAGATGTAATCATTAAACTAAAATCATTACTGGAAGCTAAGATAAGAAATGATTTGTCAAAAGCAATTTTGAACCAATTGTTTTGAATAATCGGACATTTGTAAACGGATGCGGAAAATGATCAAAAGTTATATAGTAAAATTTTATCGAAAATTTTTTATTAATTTGAATAAAGGATTGATAGATTGTGAGGATTGTTATTTTCAGAGATGATACTTTTTTTACGACACAATCAACATATAAACGAACAAATACAGAAAAAACATTAAAAGATATGGGCTGCACATATCCGGTTGTCACAAAAAGTTTATTCACTCATTGGCTTAGACTTTTGGTGCAGAAGAATTTTACTGGGATGCCAACATCCACTCCATTTGATAAGTTTTTAATTTTGATTCATTAAAAGGTCAACGAATTAATTAAAAGGTTAAGCGTTCAGATTCAGAAATCAATCGTATATGTTTTCATTGGAATCTATCCGAAGCTCTTGAAATTCTCTCATTAAGATATTAATTAATAATAGTCTTTTCTTTTTTATAATCTGACTCTAAAGTTTCAATTTGATTCCTATCATGAGAACTTATCTCTTCTTGCAACAAAAAAAAGGTTCTCAATGCGATAGATTGATATAGCTTTAGGTTTTTTCTTTACTTGTTAATTTGATTGTAGGAAGAACAACGGTTGGAAAAGTTTGCATAGTAACAGGTGCAAGTACAGGTATTGGTGAGGCAATCGTTCGAGAACTTGCCTTAATTGGATATATGAAAGTGGTATTCTGCGCAAGACGACGAGCAAAATTGATAGAATTAGTTAATAAGTATGTTTTTATCGTATTATGAGGAATCACAAAGAGAGAAGGAGAATGAATCCATGCGATGGAACATTAACAGAGAATGAAAGATATTATCATAGAGGAATGATTAATGATTTTTATTAAAATTAGATTGGAAGCTGAAGGATGCATGTCAAGTAATTTACTTCCTGTGGCATGTGATGTTACGCAAATGAGTGATGTGCAGTTCGTGGTAAGTCAAGCTGTGGAAACGTATGGAGTAATAGATGTATTGGTGAACAATGCTGGATGTATGTACTATGAGATGATGAAGAATGGACCAACAAAAGTACGTTCAAGTCTTATCATATCATATCAATGTCAACTAAGAAGAGAAAACTTGGGAGAGAGATAATGAAAAATTTAATGATGAAAAATGAAATTTTAGGAATGGAATCAACAAATTGATGTTAATTGTCGCGGTACAATGAATTGTATTGGAGCAGTAATACCGCATATGATTAAAGCTGGATCAGGGCATATTGTAAATATAACATCTGATGCTGGAAAACGTGTAAGTATTCCGATGGAAATTAGGTTTTTTTAGGACGATATAATATGATATTAGATATTTCTCGGTCGTAGAATTAATTTCCATCAGGAAATTTTGGATTCCAAACATTTCAATCAATTATTCAGACTTGGAATAATTATTATAAATCATTGTTTATGATTCTTTCTGCAAATTTTTTATGATAATATAACATTATAGTAAGTAAGGAATACTTGAGATAAATAAAAAATTAATTTTCTTGATGTAACATTTTAGGGTTTTCCTGGATTAGCTGTTTATTCCGGAACCAAATTTTTCATCGAAGGCATGTCGCAAGCACTGCGTCTGGAAATGGTTGAACATGGTATAAGGGTAACGAATGTGCAACCGGGAGATGTTGAAACGGAATTAGCAAATAGTTCGATTGATGAAGAAGTAGATTATTTTATGCGGTCATTATATTTCGGTTGACATTTCTCTTGACTTGACACTTTATTTCAAGAAAAAAGATTTCCACAAAATTTTAAGATGGTTACTTTTTCTTTTTTTTAGGCATACACCAAATACAACGTATCCAAAGCAGGTCATCCAATTCTTAGCTCATCAGATGTCGCTCGAGCAGTGCTATATGCAGTAAATCAACCATCTTCGGTTGCTGTTAACGAAATCCTTATTGAACCTCAGGCTACTCCCATATAATTAATTGTTACTTTTGATGGCCTTCCATCAATAAAATGGTTCAATTTTATTTTAACAGTTTGATTTGTTTTTGGTGGTGGTTCTCAGGTCGTTCTGTATTTCATTTCATAATATTTGGACAAACTTCTGGAATGATATTAGTTATTTTCTTACAATTTTGAAATACACACTTTGAATTTAATTAATGGTTTTATTGATTTTATTTGAATGGAGAAATGAATGTAGACAGATCTGTAATTATATTGACCTATTATACAACTCACATAGCATTTATATATGCTGAAACAGAATATGATTAAAAAATTTATCATTAACTTTAATGATGATACTAATAACTTATAGTATGATAATGACGAATAAATCGACTGATTTCCACTACTGCTATTTCGCAAAACATAACATACATCTATTAAATACCTGCTTCCACAACTTTCCATGTAATACTTTCGCTACAAACAACTTCACGGTAAAGGAAAAAAACATCAATGCAATCATTCATGCTTATCTTTTCTACTTATTTATGCTAATTACAGCTACTTCCACCATTACTCAGTAAAAAGTGATGCAGTTGATCTAATTCGGATAGCAATCATTTTACCGACCCCGTCATACCCGGTTAAGATTGGAAGGCACAATTATAGGTGAATGTAAATTGCGCAGAAATGAAATTCTGCGATTATATCGAAATCAAAATCGCAATAATTCCTTCCAATCTAATTATGATTCTATCAATATTTTGGTCAAATTTAACTTGAACGTTTCCATTAAATCTGAACGTATGACTCTACCGATACTTTAGTGAAATTCAACCTGAACGTTTCCATGCAACGTAGAATTAACATTGCATTGAGGAAATTCCTGAATTGCCAAAAGAACATAAAATATTGCATGATAGAGCAGTTTCAAACACGATATACAGTATTTGAAACTTGGAACAAATAAGAAAAAAAAGTACATTTAAATAATCTTTCAATGGTTAAAATTGGAATCCAAGAATGGAATAGTGGAATATTTGGATTTGCAAAAGTGAGCTAGAGATGATTGTCGAACTTCATGCATGCTTTCTTTATTGCTATTGACATGATTATATTAAAATTTCATTGATAAGCAATCATTCAGTCGTAACTGAGGCTTGTGTAGAGTCAAAGGCAGCCCAATAATAACCTTAATGTTCCGAACATATGGTATTATATCGTCCTGAATATAGCGGCACTTCAATAAAGGTTTTTCTCTCTTTTTGCTTAGCAATAGCAATAAAGGGAAAGAAATAGCCATTTCATTAAGAGACCCTAGCGATATTACTGACCTTCGATGGACCTATCAAAGTCTTCTTTGTCTCCATCCTAAAGCATTCACATTACATTACATGTGATGTGAATGCCCATTCATCATATTAGGCCTTCCTTTATCGAACTATTTCTCCTCTCTTTCTCCTTCTTCTTCTCCTCCTTCTTTTCTCCTTCATTTTCATCATTTAGTTACAGCTTCGAAGGATTAAACTTTTTTCACAACTTAATTTAGCTTCAAATTTTTTGCTATACACATTTTAAAACTAATCAGATCGATTAAATATCTCTATATTTTACGAATCACATTAGAATTTTTACATTTTACGGATCATATTTTCCTATTCAATGGTTTTTAATTGAGAAGACTATATTAGCTATTTGCTCATTACCCAAAGATTGTGTTAAAAAATGGATAACGAATTGAAAATATTTATGATCATTCGAGAGATTCATACATTATGCCACTTTTTCATGTTTGAATCAATTCTAAACTTTGTTTCAAAATAAGGCAACTATTATCGATAGATATGATAGTGTATTCGTTTGGTAACACTTCTTTTAATCAGCCATGTTGTTAACTTTCCACTCATTATGATTATTACCATTCATAGCAATCATTAAAAAATTATCCCATCACTAACGGATGGTTCAAATCTTTCTAGCTATATATCATGGTCGTATGTATAGTTGGATCACTTGAAAAAGAGATTCATTTATCAATGATCAAAAACAGTTTTTTTCTTTTATCTATTCTTTGAGCAGACAGTCAATCATCGAATATCCATTATTATTCCAAACGATTGCAAATTTTACGTAATATTTTAGGAATGATTTTTTTTCCAACGAATTTGCATTAATAATAAAAGGAATAATTTAAGAAGCAAAGATAATTAGAAATTAAAATGTGAATATATGAAATTAAAAAAATTAAGCCTATTTTATTACTTAATAGTGTCTTTCAACATTTTTTTACACATCTTATTATTCTAATCAATAGTGAAATAATGTATAACCAAGTGCTCATAGTTTAGCCAAAAAGAAAGAGAATATTCGCTAAATGTTGCAAATATAGAAGAAATATTATAGGAACAGTGCTGCAGACACGTGTAGTTGACAGCTTCTCTTCCCAATAACTATTTGCATTGTAATACTAATGGAAAAATTGAACGAAGAAAAATTTTACCAATAATGGAAATTGATTTATGCTAGTGTTTTATACTAAATTTACTTAAGTTTAGAAGAATCGGTTAAATTAGTAAAAGATTAATACTTTTCAAAGAAACGATTATCTTTAAATGATATCTTAAGAAGGATTTGTCCTTAATGGTTGTCACTTATTATGCTTTTGATCTTTTGATTCACTGAATATTCGAAGTTCATTTTTGCATAAATCAAGAGTTATATTGAATTTTTGGTTCCAGCGAATTTCTTACATCATTATGATTCATTCAGATTTTTTGATTTCTAATATTATTGAAATGTGATATTACCGAAAAAAGACCACTGCATCATCCGTTAATTATCAATTAACCAATGGTGTGCTACTTTGTTGTTACGTTGCCAATTACGTTGTTAAAAAGTTAAATTTGAAACAATCACTTCTTGCAATAACATTCATTACTTTTGCAAACAGCCTGTTCCTTTCATCAGAAGATTGATAATGATATAAAAAAAAGTGATAAAAACTGTAAGATGATAAATGATAGTAATTTTCAATTCTCAATAATTTATTATTTTATTTAGGAAATTTTTAATGGCAAAAGAAAATTTCGGATGAATAATATATTTGATGTATAATTAAATAAATTAATATTAGGAAATATGATAGCAATAAATTATCACAAAAGCATAACACTGATAAATTATGCTAACGAAAAATTTTAACTTTAATTAAAAAACAATTAATATGATAACACTCTAATTATTGTATGATAACATTTTCAACAAATCATTACTTTCATCCATCAAATTTACACTTTTATTCTTTTTTTCTCTTCATCAATGCTATCTTCAAAAGTTTCTATTAATGAATAATATCACTCCAAAAATTTTATAAACTACAAATCATTTGATCTGCAAAACATTTCAATTCTTTTTATCCCTTATCTTTCTCATCTAAAGAGCAATTGCAAATCTCCATAGTAGCAACTGTCTTATTGTTACGTTTTAGCCGTACATAAATTGAGGTGTTGATAGATTCTGATGAATTCCATAGGTACAGGCTAATTTGTTATATTCTTAAAGTACAAACACAGTCCAGATGTTATTCTTTCTTTTGCAATAATGATCTAAGCATTTGATGATTGATCAATATAGTATCTATCCATTTTTTACTCCTTTTCACTATCAACTGATTCATCTCACATTTTCCACTGCCGGATGCGCCCACTTTAGTCGCCGTTATCATATGTCCATTTGTTTCCTTTCCTTGTTTTGTTTTGTTGATGTATTTATTGATTGTTAACAAAAAAATTAAACCACATTAAAGTTGACCCTGTAGAGAAAGTTCAAAAAAGAAAAAAAGAAATGCGACAAAGAAGGCGAAATATTTGAAATGAATTGCGACACTTAAGGATAACTTTAAGTATGACTTTACTAGTAGTATATATAGTATATTCAGTAACACTACTGCCAACATCTCTGGTGACAGCTTATAGCAAGCAAGAGGTAAGTGCATTTCTATACCTTTGACCTTTCTGTTATTTTCTATTAAACAACTGAAAATTGCAATCATTGAAGTGTTTTTTCGTAATTCAGAAAGTGCTTTGAAAGTGATGAAAAGCATGAAATTGCCATCTTTCTTGTTAACTTTATCCCCAATAAATCTATCGATAGCCTCCTCACCGTACTAAATACATTAAATAAGCATTTCAGGTTGAATATTTGGAAGAATTTGGTTATTTGCCTAAACCAACTCCAGATGTCGCACGAATGCTCAGTGAAACAGTGATAGAAGAAGCGATCCGAGAATTACAACTGTACGGAAATATACCAATCACCGGAAAAATGGACGCTGCTACTCGAGAATTAATGTCTAGAAAGAGGTGTATGAATAGTTCTGACATGAATTTCTTCGAAAAAGTTCTTATTTGTTAAAAAAAAAAGGAAATGCTATTATTCGATTAATTTCAGATGTGGCTTAAGTGATCGTCCAATTGAAGAAGCGCTTCGAAGAAGAAGACGATATCAAAAACGATTTGCTCTAATGGGACCAAAATGGACTAAACAAATTGTTACATATAGGTTATTCTTTTATTTTATAGCAAATAAATTAGTTTTAAAATCTTAGCAGTTGCTCTTTTGATAACAGCGAACTAATATTAATTATCACCTTTCAACGAACTGATATTAATTATCACCTTTCATATTTATTCCATTTCGTTGATATAATAAACTTTGAAAGTAACAAATAATAAATTTTTAATTAATTTAATAACAATAAAAGTAACAGAATTCTTGTTAAATAAACTTAACAACATTGATTTATTTATGCGTTGAAAAAAAAGTTTTTTTCCACATAAATTTGAATAGATGTGGTGATGGTAGTGGTGGTGGTGGTGATGGTGGTATGAAGTACATTTTGGTTATATGTGGAGGTACAACTGATGAGTCATTTTGATGGTTGAGAAATCTGAGAATTGTATACATTCACAAAATGAGGGAAATGGAAAGGAAGAATTGCTATTGCCTGCTAGTCTGCTTTTCATTGCAGTTTCAATTAAGCAAGCATTCGAAAATGTAAACTATAGTTGAGCTACATAACTTTTCTAAAGCTATCATCAATAAAACGATCACTACTACTACTACTACAACTATTACTGCTACTACTGCACTGTTGTTGTTGTTGCTGTTTCTTTTGTTTTAAAGCAATAAAAATTTGCTTTGTTTTAAAGCAATAAAAATGTTACCAAGATTTTTAGATCATCTAATATGTATGTGTGGGTGTGTGTGTGTGTGTGTGTGTGTGTGTGTGTGTGTGTGTGTGTGTGTGTGTGTGTGCATGTATATATGTGATAGTTTGAAGAAAAAAGGGCTCAAGAAGAAAAAAGTTTTTTCCAAGTAGAAATGTCAAAAATGAGATATAATATAGCTAACTGTGAAGCTTGAGATCCAATAAGAGATGCTATGCTATGATAATATTGATGACAATGATATGATGATGATGATGATAATGATGATAATGATTATGATGATGAAGATGATAATGTTGACGATAACGATAGCCAAGAAGTATCTTTTTGCTTACAACGAGCAGCTGTTCTGCAGCTGTTCCTACACAATAAATATCACCGCCGTTAGTTGTCATTGGATCTCTTCCATTCATTGCCACTTTCTTCTACTTACCTTCCAATCTCGATATTTTGTAAGCTTCAATTACTTACTGTTAAAGGCTTAATGTATATTCATATTATCATCAAATCATTCACCTAAAATTTTCCATCGATCCATTTATCATATATATTATTAAAAAGAATTCATTTCATCCTTTTATCATTATCTTCCAAAGTATTTCTTATCATTCTCTATCAATTCGCTAAAATAAATGATAAACATCTATTATTAACTACATCTTCATTTATTATTCACATTTATAGTTAATTAGTTAGTTATTCAATCATGAAAGGTATTCGTGAAAAAGAAATTCCCAAATGAAATTGATAACGTGATTATGTGATTACGTTTAATATGATTACATTCAAATGAAGAATGTAAGTTTTATTTTTTGCCCCTGTATTGATGAAATATGTCATTAGTTTGTACGGTACTCTAAGCGGAACCATATGTTCACAATATTATGCTGCCCATTTTCCGCCGGTAATCTATCGTTCCAAGAAAACTTTACGACTAGAGAGAGAAGGCACTTAATTTAGAAGCGAACCATATGGAATGCCTTTCCTAACCATCCTCTTTTATCATCGATTATGAATCAGTTCAACAAGTAAACTAAATTGAAATTATCCATTCTTAATCAATCATTCGATTCAACCATTGGATTAATTAAGAGAAGATAGTTCTTATCATTATCAAATGTATGTAACACTGTTTCTCCAAATTCATTGCAACAGTAACAGTAAGATGCTATGTTTGATTGATACATTGTATGTCTTCCATTTGTAATTTTTTATCTTCGGCAGGAAAAATGAAATACATTTATGAAATTATCTTACATGACAAGATTCGGTAACGAATATGATAGATTAAACAAAATATATCATATTTATCATATTCGATTTAACATATTACTACTACGGTTATTGAATATGATAGATTAAACAAAATAGTTCAATAGCAAAAATACTTTTAAGTGATCAATGTACACCCATAATCAATTTACAACTTTGGAGTAAAGATAAAAGAACCTATTATAATTTGATTAATTGGACAGTAATAAGCCTGTAGTAGTATGTTAAATGATATTAAATCATACTGCAGTTGACTGTCATTCAAGTATAGATATGGTAGGATAATGTAGAGATGTAGGAAGAAAAAATTTACTTTAGCTTCCCATAATCAGCATATCTTATTGTAAGGATATAACACCGATCATTCCTGTTTCATCTGATCATCTCTGTCTAATACTTCTAGTTGATATTATCTTATGTAGTTTCTCTTAAATTGTTCTAATTCCGACACTGATTATTCCGTTAATTGTACTAAATAATTGAAAAGAAAAATTCAAGCATCAATTCAATATCAACTGTTAGAATCAGCATTGGATCATTTTGTTTCTATAGGATATAGCTGGGCGGAGATGTACAAGAAGGAGAGAGCAGATGCACCTCTTCTGTTGATGTTCTCCTGAAGTTGAAGAGAATGTTAAATCTTTCCTATCTCAACATTATATGACCATTGTCTGTTTGCACACGCTATTCTCATCACTTCTCCAAAATGTCCTCTCGTCATCCCGAAAACTCATCAATTTTCGGAAAGCAGTTGTTCGATTGTTCTAGACGGTTTCTTCCGTATTATTATCTTCATGTGAGCTAAGAATAAATTTTCAAATTGCTCAATCTAATCCCCTCACGTATGGAAAGGTTGTACGGCGTTCAGCTTACTCGGCTGGTTGTATGATGTTTCAACGGAATTTCTTCAATTCATCACAACCTCCTTGAGTAAGCGGATTGCTTTCTAGCCTTTTATCCAACCAAAAACTAAGCCTATTTTGGATAGCCTAATTTTACTGCATTCGTCTCTCAAATCAACAATACTCTCCACAACTATCAGTGGTATGCTATCTTCAACTTTTATGGTAACTCAATTGCAAAAATGATTGTAAATAATATTTAAAGAATATATAGTTCTGTCTATTTTAAGCAAATAATATACAAAGTTTAGAAGATAATTATTATCTTCGTAAAAATTAAAATTTTTCTCATGCAGATCGAATGTTTTCATCTTTTTTTAATCAATATTGGATAGAGAGAAGTGATGAAAATGTGAGGAGTAGTGAAGAGATGTTTGGTGAATTGAGATAAATTTAAAATACCCTATCGGTACGATCCGGTAGAAACGCTATGTAAGCAAGCACTAAAATCATATCTAACACAGACAGATAGCAGAAAAGAAATAATTTGTAGTTAAATTTCAATGACTCAGTTAAATTCAGCTAGTTAATTACAAACAACTGTTACATATATGAAAGCCTCTTATTATCTATCCAAATTGAATTAAAACGAGAGAATTAGAGATATATGAAAATAAAATTGCATTTGCTTTTTTATTTTACAAAAATTTTTTTTAATCAGCTTACTTGCTAATTAGCAGTGATTATAGATATATGTAAGTTTTTGCAAAATCTGAATCTAATTACTTTCGAAAGAATAATATCAAAAATTTTGAAATATTACTGTAGCATTTAAATTACAGTGTGGATAATCCATCACGAAGTATACCTAATTTGGGCACAATACGACGTGAGATAAATGAAGCAATCAGTAGTTGGCAACATATATTGCCAATGCAATTCCATGAAGTACGACCGGAATCAGAAGCTGATGTAAAGATACGTTTTGCAATAGGTGATCATGGTGATCCGTACCGTTTCGATGGAAGTGGCAAAATTTTGGCACATGCATTTCCACCCGGTGAAGGAATCGGTGGTGACATTCATCTGGACGATGATGAATATTGGACCGTTGCGCTCACAGGCGATTCTTATAGGCAGCGTGAGTAAGCATGCGCCTTAATTTCTGTACCAGAAATTTGATAACATTCTGGTAGCAATTTATTATCCATAATGATCAATAGATCAAATATGGATAGAATGTTCCGGTTATTCTCAGGGAACAGGATTATCTGAACTGAATTCATAATCTACTACAATCACTCATTCTCTCATTCTGATAATATCACATTTTGCAATCATTCTCGCAAAATTATTCCAATTTTCTAGCTAAGCAATTCCAGAAGTGAGTCTTCGTTCGATTGCAATGCATGAATTTGGACATAGTATCGGTCTATCTCATTCAAATCAGGAAGATAGTGTCATGTACGCCTTTTATCAGTACGACTTACCGGCAAAGCTCTCATACGATGACTTGCTAGCTGTTCGAACCCTCTATGGCGGTAAATAGGCTTTTTATGTTGATAAATATTTTCTATCAAATAATTAAAATTATTTCGAACGATGTGAACGAATAAATTAAATGCAAATGACTCAGAGCTTTTGGTTGGTCCACGTACTAATAATCGTTATCCTATATCAAAAAGTGTATGAAATGAATAAATTTTGCGGTTGGTTATAAATCTCCAATAGGTTATGTTTTATTTTCATTTGTTTGCCATCCTGGAGATATACTGTGCTGAAACAGTGGACAACAAGATAATGATTATGATAATAATGATGAGAGATAATGAGTGTGCAATATATATAGGACATCATCAATAAATGGATCATGAAATAATGATTTCGATATTACGTAATACTAAATGCACTATCAGGCGGTGACTATCATCCAAGAGAACCGACTGATATCTCTAGACTGCATTCAAGTACTACTACACAATCACCGCCGTTGCCAAGAGGACCTGAGGAACCTACAGATCAGTTTCCAACAATTCATCCAGATACTCCAGAGTTACCAATCTTAGAACCGGATCCATGCAAATCCGAATACGATGCTATTGCTTCCATACGACAAGAGATCTTCGTTTTTAAAGTTGCATATTTCTTCTCTCCCTTCTCTTTCATTTTTGGATTAACACTCTGTTAGCGAAGAGTAGGACTAATTCCATTAGGCTCAGTGATTCCTAAGTCTTTTACCAGTCATGGAATATAATACATGCTTTCATTCAAATGATCTGTTTAGGATAGATGGTTTTGGCGGATACGGCAAAATGGTACGCTAAGTCAAAGTCCACATCATATCAATACGCTATGGAGAGAAGCCGCATGGCCTATAGATGCAGCAGTGGAGAGCGATCATCAAATCTATTTATTCGTAGGTATGTAGAAGTTATCAATGTTAGATAAAATCATTAAAATAATTATTACGATCATTATTCGTAATTAGAAGAAATGAAAAAGTAGGTTGTTAGCAAAAATTGAAAAAGAAATAAGTGCTGTTGAGAGGAGAGAAATCTTTTTCATTGTCCCTAGAAGTTTCCTCTGATTAGAATAAAATAGCTTTGTATAATAATACTAAATATGTTGGGTAAGTTTAAAACATATATAGGTATATTTTATTTATTTGTTCATATATTTGAGAACTTTGGGTTGCAGTGCTATGCAGAAAGTATCTAATCTCATCTTTATTTTTTATTCCTGCATTGATTGCAGGCAAAGATATTTATATATTCAACGGTCAACGTCTTGTCTCAAAAAAAATGCTTACCGACTTGGGCCTACCAACCACCATTAAGCGAATTCGACTTGCTTACACATGGAACTACTGGACCGAACAACCGATGTACATCTGGACAAAAGATGAGTTCTGGAGAGTTGATAAGGTATAAATAATTGAAATAAGATCCTTGACGGAAATAATTTTTCCTGTGTGATTTTTTCATATATTCCTTGAACAATAAAGAAAAATTATTGCAGAAATCTGAAAAGGTCGAAATTGGTTATCCACGAAAGATCGCAACAACATGGCATGGTATTCCAGAGCAGGCTAGCGCAGCTGTTACATATAATAATGGTTATTTTTCTCCTCTTACTTACTTGAGCCTAAAAATAATCATTTACTAATCCTTACATTTTCATTATCTTACCACTTTAAGCTTATCATATTTACACAACTCCTTCACTTCTTGCAGAAAGAAACAGGAATTGCGGTTTCCACTTCTTGTCGATTATTTTCCTACCGAACACTTCATAATATTTTAAGATAAAAAATTAGTAATAAATCTGATGTGGTAAAGATTTACTACATCAGATTTATTACTAATTTTCACAAGCCATCAGAGATCAAAATTAAAAAATATCGTTTTATTAAAAGAAGGCAAAATTTCTTCCAGAACTATATTTTTTCAATAAAAACGCAGTCTACAAGTTCCATACGGTTAATATGACAGCAGCATCACCAATTACTACGTCGCAATTATGGCGCTTTTGCCCCGTGGCAATGAAAATCTCAAATGGACATGTAATACGCATTTCATCCTTTTCTACTTTTATTGTTATTGTTGTTACTACTGTTTTTTTCCACTGATCACAAATGGACAACTCATCTTATAATAAAAATATAAAATATTGGTCGGTGCGATTTGTGACAAAACAGAAAGGCACGAAGAATCCAATTTCTTCCTTTCCTTTTTTATTAAATTTTATCTAAGCTTAACGGCTCACTTTCCCTCACTGACAATCAAAAAATGTTATTGGATGAAATCGGAGTTATTAGGACAATCTTCGTTAACTTATTGGTTTAAACCAGGAATTTGCACTGTCACCCAATCTACTCATCAATTAAGCAGAATAAATTATGAAAACGAAAGAAATCATTAAAGGTTCAGAAGTAAATCGTTCGATGACTGTATGTATTCTGAATGTTTCCAAACACAAAAATGCTATTTTCACATGGTCGACCAAAGAATTAATTGTATAAATATAAAAAAGATTTCATATATGTTATTCCCTTTACTTTTTCCTACAGTAGCTATCTCGCAGTTCACTCATTTTAATTCATCAAAATCATTAAAACATATTTTCAAAATGCCAAAATATGCAAATATGCAGTACACAAGACAACATATGTACAAACAACGTGAACCGGCCAAAGTAATCACGACATTCAAGTTTTGATCTCCGATGATTCTTGCTCCTGCTGCCGCATTTCACTAAAATCTGTTGAACCATTAGCAGTACTGCTGTTATTGCTCTGACATTGGAAGCCAACTACTTCAAATGTCTGGTTGGAATCACTATCGAATCCTCCTTCTGAGAAGCCAGTGTTAGAGTCATCATTCAAATTACCAAAGGCGCGAACTCGTGCTACATCACTGTTCTCTGCAATAAGAATACACTAACACATTTCTAGGATTCTACTGATTTAACAGATGCAACAACTCTATGCTAAACAATACCTTAAATACCATTACGAATATGGAGATTTCCCAAAGCTCTGGAAAACACATTTATCTACTGAAATGTGAGGTGAGGTTTAATACCTTAAAATCATATTTTTCTTCGTTGAATAGTGATCAATATCATGGAACAACACTTAAGAAATATGCCTTACAAAGAAATAATACCTAATGCAGATGAATCCTGAGTATTTTCCGACGATGCAATTGTTGTACTTTCATCTTGATCTTGTACTACAGATTTCTGTGGAATTTTTGTAATATTCGCTGTTGCAGTCACTGAAACAAAGGAAAAAAGAACTGCACACACTAAATATGATGTCAATAAAAGCTAAAACAATACAAACTTCCAATCTCTTCTGTATTGGTTATATTAAACATTTTAATAGTCTTACCAGGTACCCACCGGAACAACTTTATCTGCGTATCTTTAACTACAATCCATTTCTTTTCCCTGCAAAAACCAAACTTAAAGTCTTAAAAAACATTCTTGAACCAAACACAATATATCATCCAGATTACATATTCTTAGGTCATTCTGCTCCCTATCTCGAATTGCCTGTCCAGAAATAAACTGAATAGCAACATGTGAACTTAGTTCACAACACTACAGTGATATTGATTAGAAGTTGGAATGAAAAAAATTTTAATGGATAGCTAATTATCTGAGAATTGGCAAAAGGACACCACATTATAAAGCCGAAAAATGACTTGTATTCATGAAATCAGCGCTTTTCATGGGATACTCTATTTAAACTATTCCTTAGTCAAAATACGAAACCATTCAGTTACCATTTGCGAACTTTGTCTACCGAATTAATGACCCGCTTCAATTCATCTTTCGCACGATTGCGTGTTTCTGCGCGCTGGCTGCGTGCATACATATGATGTTGATTAAGCCACGACGTGTCTCAGATTTGAACACTTAAATTAGCAGTACTATCATACAATGGTATCTCGATATAATCATTATACTACAACGAATAGTGAATTCAATAAAATGTGATAAAAATTAGCTTTGTGAAAATAAACTTCACACAATAATGCAGTCCTACCTTCCAATAGCATTAATGAGAGAACGAAAATATATAAAGCATGAGAGATATTTCGGGCAAGCTAGTTGGTGAGCAGTTGTTGATTAATTCGTAAAAGAAAGTAAGAGCGCTTAACTCACTAAACACAAATGTTATCGAAAATATGCAAACTCTCCCTGGTACTCTAATTAACTTTGCCTCCAGAACATTTCCGAAATACTAAGAATTATATTCTTGAACGACTTCAGGAGACAAACCAGCGTGGAACGAGAACCACTTGGCCAATGCCGAAGTAACAAACTGAAAGTTATATCATTTTGATCATTGCGTAGCGAAAATTGTTCAACCCATCGGAAGCGTTTTGGTTGGAAATGAGATGTTATGCGATGAAAGGCGTTGTTGAAATTTGAGCAGTGTAGTAAGTTATATGCAATATTTCATTTGAAACATTACAATGAATTTCGTTATAGAATTCGCTAATTAGATGTAAACAAAAAATATATTGAAACCGTTCTGGAATTAGGGCTTGATCGATGATTCCATAACGAAATTTATCCTAATGTTTGAACTCAAAATTGAGCAGGAATGAATGTAAGTTGATGAAAATCAATTTCTGTTTTTCTTCATTCGTGGAATTTAAGTGCCTAAAAAAAATGTTATGGAAAGACAAGAATAAATGATATACATTAAAAGGAAGTAAAAATGTCATTCTATGAAGATTGGTATACTTGAAGTATTTATTGTATTTCTTTCATCTCTTACTTTGATTTATTGTGGTGTGAATTTTGGTGAAATGGAACAATTTTACTTTCATTTTCTCATACCTGTACCAATAGATAGAAGGATCATTGACTATTATGAACTTTACAAGAGTGAAAGTTAAATTGATGTATAGATTGTTGAACAATTAGTTAAAAATGAACTTTACGATCAATTATACCTATCTAAATTATTCAAGAAACAAATAAATTCTTAATTGTGTCAGTAGCAAATATTTTATGTTTCGTAGAAGTTATTAAATACATGCTATGATTCATTTCAAATATCATTTTTTTTCATACACTCTGAAAAACACCTTGAGGCATATTTTTCACCCATAAATAATGTATCGATCATTGAATTATCATTTAAAAGTAAAGTTAATATAGTTGAAATAATAACTCTTTCCCTCTATATATTGTTATTTCAAAATTTTGCATTAGAAATTTGCAGGTGGAAGTCAAAATGAATGATTTATTTTGAAGAGAATTATTCATCGATGTTGCATATTCTGTATGTGTTATGTTATCATTTCATATGAATGTTTATCTTTAGAAATTTTGAAGTAATAAAAAATTTTCATAATGCGGTTGTTTGCAAGAAAATTTATAATAACATCTTCGAATTTATCATTTATAATAGTATTCTTTCATAAAATCCAGTTCGAACATTTCTTTGAAAGATGAAAAATAATTATACTTGGTAATGCTAAATCATATTTGTATATATGATAAAATATTTGAACAACATCCTATGATAAGAATATAATTGTGCAGTAATATATTTGTATCAGCATTTAATTATCATCTTATTTAAGTTACTGATAAAAGATATAATCAATATGCTGCATAATTGAACAGTATTGATAGTAAGAATTGTTATAAAATTAATTATATCAATTATACTTGTTTTTCCTAAAACATAAAAAAATATCATTAGAGATCAGCAAATCTTCTTCAATAGATTCATTCATCAATTTTAATAGTTTTATCAACAAATTTTCATAAATTTGTTATATTGTTGAAAATCAGAGAAAAAGGGACGCAGAAAACCGGACACAACATAAAATGATCACAACAAAATAATATATTTTGTCAATAATTAATGTTTAAAAAAAATCTTAATTGCTCCTCCTAAAATTTCGGTTGAGTATCATTTCTGATATTACTACGGAGCAATACATATCACTCCAATGGAAGCTCGGTAAAATTTTCCTAAAATTATTCATTATCAGCAAATATATATTTATACCAAATCTTTATTATTTGAAAGCTATCTATCGCTCTTGAAAGATGAAATGATATAATCAATCTAATTTTGAAAGTATAAGTTTCTTTAAGAAATATAAAATTTAAACGTAACTATTTTAATCTATGCATAAATTTACTGAAGTTTATTTAATACAGGTATAGTTTTACAGATAACTTTCATCACTTATGCTTATAGATTAAAAGTATAGTGGTGCATTAAATAGTACAATATTAGATTAATTAAAATAGCAATATTTGATAATATTTTATTCATTTTTAATTTTCAATCAAAATCATTCAAGAAACTATCCAGTTTCTTGAATGATTTTGATTGAAAATTAAAAACTCAAACTTCTAATTTATTTGGACTAATTTTTTTTTTCATTTTCTGATAATGATACGATTGTCCTAGATTAGTATCCATCCATTCATTCATTCATTCATTCATTCATTTATCCTAATCATTCCTACTATTTCCATTATCATTATCATCAATGATTGAAATGAGTGCTACTATCATTATCACAATGATATTACCAGAACTTTTTAGCATTGTATCACCGTATTGAGTGTTTGAGATGAAATGAGTAGTAGTGGTAGTAGTTTGATAGTATTGCCGGGGTTGCAGGCAGTGGTATGGGCGTGTTTCGCGGTGAAGACCAGACCTGTGTGTGTTCATTCAACACTTCTATTATTCTCTTTAGCAATGCCCTTATACCTGCTCCCAAATTACATTTTCTCTCTCATTTCCAAATAATTGAACACCATACTACCAGCCGTTACCATTCGTCCTGTTTTGGTAGGTAATAATGGTGGCGATGATTGCGGCAGCGTTATTATGATGGTAAACTTATGCATTTTAATTTTTGACATTTCGATTGAAAAAAAATACGTAGAATAAGTGGTATGATTAGATAAATTGAATTGTTTCATAACTTATACCCATAATGAAGCAATTAGAAAGGTAAAGTGCAATCTATAATTATTCAGGTTATAAACGAAACGGAAAAGAAAGGATAAACCTGTATGTTTTCGAATGATACTTCTTTCTAACACTACTGTTTCAAACTGAATTACTATTATTGGTTGAGAAATTTTTTTGTGTGCATTGTGACGGAAGTCTACCTCATTACTGCTACCTGCTTAACGGTAGATGACCAACTTATATGGCATTATTAAAATCTATTTACAACAGACTTTTTTCAAACTTTTCTGTTATCATTCGAAATAGGAATTTGTTAAATAGTAAAGAGTTAATCATCACCAGTAGTTACTGGTTGATACTTGTCGTGATCATTTTATGTACCTGTAGTACCCGTATCGATGGGGCATTCTTTCTTACTGATCCGTATGAACATGCTCTTGTATCATCTCTACAAGATGAACGAATCGAACAAATTAGTGCTACTGCTACTACGATTACTGCTACTACTACGACTACTTTAACTACTGCAATCCAGAGAATACTTCGAGAGAAAGCGAAAACATTCGGACAAAATGCGGAAGAGATTAAGGAAGTCAATTACTATCTGGAAAAAATTCAAAAATTTGAGGCTAAACAACATCCAGAAGAAATCCCTCAGCAATATAATACAAAACCTTCCAGAGCGGTAAGGGTGGTTATTTCTTAAATATTATTTTTGCGCCTTTATAAAATGAAGTAACTTAATAGTCCGGAAATTATACATAGTTCTAAGGGATTTAATTAACTTTAGACAATTTTTTACATTCACTTTCTTCATTTACTATTTGCCATCTTCCATACCTTATAACCATATTTTTTTCAACTGTTACTTATTCTTATAAAACTTGGCAAATGATAATAACGATTTAATGATACTAATGTAGTAGGCCTAACTTAACTTCAAATTAATTTAATTACAGTTTCGTTAAAAGATTATCGTAATCCTAACTCTATAGTATCAACAGGAAGCATTGAGAAGAAAATATTATCATACATCACAGCCATTGGTTGAAATTTCCCTTCAAGAATATTATCATATTATTTATTTCAACAAAAAACTTTCACAAATTATTTTATTGAAAAGTTTTATTTTATTAAAACAAATATATTGTCTCAGTACATTTTCCTCCGTAAATTTTTGGTTGAGAATGAAGAAACACACATAATATCGTTAAGATAAATTGTTTGTTGTTTGTAAACAAAAAAAAAACAACTAATAATAAGGTTATAAAAAGAGAGAGAGGAAGAGAGATAGAGAGAGAGAAAGGTATACGGCGGGGCAAGAAACAGGTTACGGGGGCATGGAAAGGAAAGGAATACTAAACCTATGAACCTATTTGTTGCTTAATGACAATTTACTTCAAAACTAGAAAAATTTATTAAATGAAATATTTGTTTAAATTCAATTAAATTAATCACACCTGCTGAAAAAATTTCTAGCATTATCATTGTTCAATTTATCAGTAAAAGTACTTTAGAAATATTTACGATTACTCGCATGCAAAAAATAAAATTCGTAATGAAGAAGAAATTTTAAATTTTTAGTAATTGCAGTTAAGGTTTGGTAAAATTTTAATCCACATGTTATAAAATTACTTTTGTTTAAATTACTTATCGCTTATTTTCAATTACAACTATTGACAGATCCATTTGCAATAGAAATGATAATGAATAGCATTAAGTTATGTCAAAGTGTAAAAATAAAGCTATAGCTAATTAGCATATACATATAAGTAATATCAAATAGTTATTGAGTGTATGAACAGGAAAAAGAATAAGGTACGTTCAGAAATTATTTATCCAATTTTATAAATTATATCTTCACTACTAATTTACCTGTTTAATAAGTTAAATATAATAAATCATCTGAATAGACCAATTATCATATGTAAATTTCAGAAATAAATTGGTGAATTGTTATTTCCACAGATAGTTGTTTACTATCAATTATAGTTGTTTACTATCAATTAAGTCAATCCTCGAAAGGAATTGATATTGAATATCTCTTTAGTTATCAATATTTTTACATTATATAATATAGTTTTCATCTCAATTAAATGGATACAAATGTCATCTTTATTTCTTTAATTTATCCAATACTACTTTTTCCATTAATATAGCACCACTAATAAATCCATTCATTTACGCGACCTCTTAAAATCTTTTCCTACCAACCAGTTTTCTCATATGCTCGATAATACAGAGCACAATCTTTCTTTCCATTTTCATTATTTTTCCAATGAAGAATAGAGAGAGTAGTAAGAGAGGGAATTTATTGACAGCTAACATAATAATATACAAGTGATAAACAAAATCTGAAACTCGAAATGCAGCATTTTCTGTTAGAATTGCAGGCGATAGCAAATACATACATCACTGCTACTATTTTTATTCCTAAATCTTTTTAGATCAATAAAACAATAAATACAAAATGAGCAAGCAAAATTTTGATATAAATAATGATGATCTATTTGATGTATCAATAAATGATTTTTTTGTAAGAGAGAAAACAAAAGAAGTTTAATAATGATTCTTGAATAAATTCAAATTTTTCACTAATCATTTTTGTTTTTATTTCTCATTCAAAAATGTATATTTTTTCATAATAAAAGAAAAATTACAATAATCCTTATCAATGATAACATTTTAAAGTAATCATTTGAAATGATAGCATTAATTAGCTATTGATTTAATCTCTAATCATCGATAATATTATCATAGAGCTAATATAATCGAAATAAATTAGAAATAAAATATAAACATATCTAACATTTACTATTTCACAACAAATGATTTTTCTCTTTCGCAAAATAATTTTAAAATGCGGAAGAGAATTTTGAGGAAGCGAAAATTTAACGAAACAATTAAATAACAAAATATTATGGCAATGCGATCAATTAGATTAGATCAGTACGGTCAACATTCTGTTAAGAACTCTTATTTGATTTAATCGAACCAATTAAAGGAAAAAATTAGAGAACGATGGAAATTGATTAGCATCTAAATTAAATAGTAATTTATTCATCGATAATGATTAAAAAAACGAAGAAAGTCGAAATATTTGATAATTTTGAGTATCATCTCTGTCTCTCTCTCTCTTACAAATTCTCTTTTCTTCAATTCATTTATTTTATTGAACACTCATTTTTTTTTTATCTTTGACAATTTGCTGGTGATAAATTAGCTTTAATGATTATATTCATCAATATTTCAGAGTAATAAATAAGGTTTCTAAATTTTAAGTATTGGTATTGAAATTTTCATTCAATTATATTTTCAATTAAAAATTAATTAATTAATGAGTGTTATATAGAGATGAATAAAATAAAACTATCAGAAAAATGAGGAATGCTAATTTATTCTGACACCAATATTTTTAGTTAACAATGGAAGTTGCGAAATTCGAAAGGCGACAAAAAGATAACACTGTGTTAAATCCCGACGAAAATGGTCGATATTATGAAGGTGAAAGATTTCTTCATTTTTAATATTCGATCAGCGCCTTCATCAAACAAATATTATAGATAGTTTTATTGTTTTAACTAAATCATCGAAAACAACATAAAGCTTTAATATAATGTCATCAATATAAAATTATTAGGCGCTTTTATCTGAGTTAACTTTTATTGTTTGAACCAATCGAAATATTATTGCTATAAAGAGCATTATCATCATTTTGAAAACGCTTTCTTTTTGTTTCCAAATAATGCGCAAATGTCATTAATTTCACTAAAACAGTTCTTTTCATTGTTTTTGACCTCTTCTTTTTTTCTCTGTCTCTCAAATGGAAATCATCCATTTTTTTCAACTATCTTTCATTATATATCATTTAATTGGATATAAATATGTGTATAATGATTACTATAAATAATGATTATCGTCATATATTTAATGTTTTTTGCAGATACATTCACTTCGGCCTAGAAAAAAATATTTTTAATTGAAAATAATTAATAAAATTTGCCCATTTCAACATGATATAAACATTTCACACATATATTGCCTAATATAACAACAAAAAAAGCACTCACAATTATTTTCAAATAATAATGCATTACAATGTATTGAAATGCATGCACATTTCAATATTGCAATATAGAAGTGATCAATGATTAATTTAATTTAACACATTAAAAGTTGAAAATATGAAGGTCAAAAAAGTATATGAAGGAGTGATTATAATCTGTGAATCATTAATTGTTCAATGTTTATAGTTTAACAACCTTTTTAGGATTAAATCATTTCTTTAGGGTGAGGTATAACGGTGAAATAATAAACTGAATTTCATATAATTAAGAATTTGTTAAATTATTCAGTTAATAAAATTTAAATTCTGAAAAATATTGTTTCAGGTGATATTGTTTTGGATGCACAACAAGCACATGAGATTTATGAGAGAATGCTACAACATGGAAAACGTACAAAACGGAAATTTATTCGTTCCGAATTACGTCGATGGGATTCTCATAAACCGATCATTTACAGTTTCGATGGATCACATAGTAAGTCATTCTTTCTTTTTTTTAAAGATTTCAAAATTTTTCATTATTAAAATATTAAATAGATATTTCCTCTCTTTTTTTTGCAAAAGATAAGATCTGATCATAATAATTAACTATTATTAATAGGTTATTTAATTACAGTTAATATTTTGAAAATTCAAAATATTTAGCTATAACTAAATAATCTGTCAATAACAATTATTCTTTTTTTTAATTCAAAATATTAGCAAGCATAATCTATTTTTAACTTTTAGAAATGAAAATAAAATTTCATTGAATAAGCAAAATTTAATAAATTGAAATGAAATTTTTTCTTTTGCATTTATATGAATGGATAAAATTTAATAAATCATAATAACTATAAGAGTAAATATGAACTAACTCAGTGAAATTATTATAAAATAATCTCATTAATTTTACCATATGATATTATTTTCTTTCATATTTTTAATAACGAAGCATTTATCTCTTTCCATTCCTTATATCATTTCTTAAAATTTTGTGGACAGTTGTTGTTTATTCGATAAAAAGGGAAAAAGAAATTTTAAAGAAAATTTGATTACAACGACTGAAAGGATTTCGCTCATTGTTATCATTCATTATTTTAAATGAACTAAAACAGAGTCGAAATTATGTCACATTTATAAACGGAAAGTGAGAAGATTTTTTTCCGCTCCATTTCTACATGTAATTAATTAGTTATACACAAATGAACTTATGCTAAATTACTTTTCTTTTCAATTTTCTCCTTACCATTGCGAGAGAAATTAATATTAAATTGTTGCAAAAAATAAAAGAATGAAGAAGAAGAAAACAGAAGTGGCATGTATCATTAGTTGTAGTAAATAGAACAGGTTTTGCATAATTATTTCTGCCCAATTAAATTCATTGTATTAAAATAATTGAAGAATTTAATGCTATCTAACTTGTTGTGTCATCAATTTTTAAGGTTATTTTCGACCATATATATGAATTTATCATCTTCGCTCAGCTATATGCAAGTTTATAAGTGAATTTTTCTCCACTCCATGTGCTATTTAAATTATTCGAAATCTTTTCAAATGCTAATATTTCTTCAGGGAAAAAGTTTTAAATAAATTTGTGAGAATGAGAAAAAATATTGAAAATTCTTAAAGCAAAATTTTTTGAAATTTTTGACTTACTAAAGTAAATCTTATAGAAATTATCTCCTAAAAATTAATTGAGAATTTTTCCTCATTTTATTATTCATTTTTATTATAAAGTATTGTTGATGAAATTGATGAAAGTATTTTTATCATAAACTCTACAGAATCAACAGAATATTTATAGGAAAATTACTATGTTATCATTCACTAAACTCTCGTCTTAACTTTACAATTACTTAATCAACAAAAATTGAGTGAAGAATTTTAAATTCTAATAGCAATAATATGCTTATCAAACAAAGATTACCTGTAGCTGTCTATGTGATCAATTATTATTTATTGATAATTTTAGCTGCACGTGAGCAACGGGTAATTGAATTGGCGCTTGAACATTGGCACAATATAACATGTTTGAATTTTGAACGCAGAGATAATGAGATTCAAGAAAACCGAATCGTCTTTACGGATGTGGATGGATGTGCTTCCAATGTTGGTAGGCACCCACTTGGCGAGCCACAATTTGTCTCACTGGCACCGGAATGCATCCGAGTATTTCCTGTTCTGTTCTTTCAAGTGTAAAATTATTTTAAGATACTTATAGCAGAGGTCACAAGAATTTAGAAAAATACATTTCATGCGATAGGTTTAGGTACGATAATCAATCATTATCTTCCGGATTATCTTAAAAAACTTAAAATTGTAGTCATTCAGTAAATGATAACTTTTAAGGAAAAAAATTCTAAGATTACAGTTAGGAGTGATAGCACATGAAGTGGCGCATGCATTGGGTTTTTGGCATGAGCAATCGCGACCTGATCGTGATAACTATGTTACCGTTCGCTGGGAAAATATCGATCGTGATAGTAAGGGACAGTTTCTAAAAGAAATGCCAGTTGATGTGGATAACGGTGGTGTACCCTATGATTACGGTAGTATTATGCATTACAGGTAAAAATCCACTTCGAATACTAATTAGTCCTCAGGTGTTCATCTAAGATACGTAATGCAGTATCGCCTGTTGTTAAAACTCCGGTTCTTTTACTTCGAAAGCTATCTGGAAATAAACCCTAGAAAGTAGTGATACGTCCAGGAACAGAAATCGTGGAATTGTTAGTGAAATGATCGATTTTGCCATTTGGTTTGAAATATATCATATATGAAAATGGGACAAGGATTAATGAAATTAAAAGGAAAATGGTTTTCAACTCATTTAAAGCATTTGCTAATGAATTTCAACCAAATTGCAGGAGTAAGGCATTCGGTAGATATGACGATTTGTTTACATTGAATACAAACATTGTGGATTATCAAAAGACCATTGGACAGCGAGATCAATTATCATTCAATGATATCCGTCTCATGAATGTGATCTATTGTAGCGATTCATGTGCAAAGAAATTACCCTGTCAACGTGGAGGTTACACGGATCCAAGACGATGTGGACGATGTCGTTGTCCAGATGGATTCACTGGAAAAGTATATATATTTTCTTTATTCAGAATTCATTTTAGTATGTGAAAAAGTACGAGACTTTCATACGTGCGTAAAAGATAGAATCCTAAATTATATAAAATATCGGGAAGAAACGGATAAATTAATCAAAGATATTCATAAGCACTGTAGTAAAATTATTTAATCCTATTACCAACATCAGAAATTAAGAATTATAACAGAAAATATAAAATAGAATGATAAAATTGAGTACAGTTTGATCAGTTCTTTTTTTTAAGAATAAAAATAACAACTTTCAACTTATGTTTGAAATAGTTCGGAAATTAATAGTAAAATACTATTCTATTATTACTCAATCTCAATTGTGTTGCTGCAGCTTTGTGAACGGGTAATGCCAGGATTTGGAGCAGATTGTGGTGGCCGTATGGAATTGACAACAAGTTGGAAGCGTATAACAAGCCCAAACTATCCCAGAGATTTTAAAGAGGGACAGGAATGTAGTTGGCTTTTGGTAGCTCCACCTGGTCAACGTGTACAGTTACGCTTCTATGGTGAATTCGAGATGTACTGCAAGGTGCGCCATTCACTCTGCATGGATTATATCGAAATACGCAATTCAACCGATTTCGCTAATACCGGAATGAGGTAGTGCACTACTAATTCACTTAGAATTAACAGAGATTTATGCTAAATTTCAAATAAATGAAACCGGGAATGATTTTAGATGCATTATGATTAGATCGAATCTTTGCGGAAACATCTCCATCACATACCTAAATACTCTTCATATTTCAGATATTGTTGCTATGGAACGCCGCAATCAACGATTATGTCAGCTACTGAGGACATGTTGGTGCTATTCCGATCATTCTACCGCGGTGGCAAAGGTTTCCAGGCGCAGGTACGCGCCCTACCAACAACTGGTTCGTTCTTGGCGCGGTCCGAGTGGTATGCGTGCAAAGCATCGTGTGACGCCTGCGGTATCAGGCACTATCGACGAATCTGTGTCGATGGTGCCTGCATGTTAGTTTAGAAGTCCTTTCCCCATCACCTACCTTATTGGCGCATTCAACAATCACTTCTAACTAAACAAATTTTTTCATTATAATCATCTAATTTAGAAATTTCGCACTGTAAATAGAGCAATAAATATAACTTGACTAAATATCGTAGTACTAATTGAGGAAAGTACTAACATTAACACCTTAGGATAGTGGACGCCGATTTCAACCAGAAGATTACTTTGATGAGGCGTGCAAGGTTAAGGTGTTCAAACCACCGAACGATTGTTCCTCTAACAACCAAGCTTACCGGCTATTTCTTAGATTGGGTTCAAGAAATTTGGAAAAACTGAATGAAAGTGATTAATTAGAAACTCAGTACAATTAATTAACATCCTGCACTGCATGGTAAAGCATACATTAAATGTCTCACCGAATGCTGCATCAGCTTGCCTAACTTGCACATGATGAATACTGGGTGTTCTTTTAAACCAAACTATTGGCTGAAAAGATAACTAATCATTCTTGTAGTGTTGAACAATCGGACAATGAGGTCTACAAATAAGCCCGATGCAAATGTGAACAAACACACTAAAGGAGATTCCTAACGCTATTCGATGACATGAAATGCAAACGGTAAGAAATACATTAATATCAAGATTATACAAAAATCTCACTGCACAAGAATCATATAAAGAATGAATCTCGAAATTAAACTACTGAAGTATATTTGAAACCTTTTTATTATAATATATGTGGTCACTAACTTTAACTAATGTCTTGTGATAGTGATAATGTCGAATAATGTCGAATAGTACCATAAAACATTGGGGTAGATTAAAATTTTCAATAAGCATCTAAAAAGACAACGAAAATTTTCAGCTTAGTGAGGTTAGATATTCAAACTCTATTGGTAATCTCAAAAGCACAAAGGGCCTTAACCAAGGTATTCAGGACCAAGATGACCAAAGAACCAAAGTTCCTACAGCCTCCTGAATAAGAGACGCAAACTTACAAATGCTACTTCTAAGTGAACTCATTTATGGAATTATTTATTATTGAATTGTTTAAAAATTTTTATTTTAGGGAAGATGCCAGAATCATGTAACGGAATCAGTGCTATATGCACTACAGTAAGTTCGCAATGAACAATGTTTGTAGACCTGTAATTAAAATACCTTCATATACATAGAAAGAAACATGGAAGCAAGAAAGAGAATAAAAATAGCTAGTCAAAGATAATAAAATTCTCGGAAATGCGAACTCATTAATGTGTGCTAATTTCGTGGAAATGTTTGAAGCGAGTACAACTATAATGATCTCATCATTGCATAAATGTTTCCAACAGAAATGCCTTAAATTATTGACACAGCTATTAATATATCACCACTTAATTAACGAAAAGAGAATATCTGTAAGTGCCCAGTGATAAATTAATTAAAAATCCATAAAACAAATATTATACGAACATTATCAGCTCTTATCTGCTTTCTTTAAAAAACGTGGATCGGAAACCAAACATATCCAATCCAGATTTTTTAGCGCCGTATTCAGCTTCACTATCTTAAGCCGTTGCACTTCAAATGTCTCCTCTTTGGCCACCTGAAATGCATAGCATGCTGTACATCACAAGAAGTAACAAAACCTTCATTTACATTATAATTCATAATAGACTCCATCAGAAGTGCCCTATTATAGTGAAATGAAACAACACAGTAGACGGTTATTCTAACTTATTCTAATTGTTGCAAATCCAGTTACCAGATTTTTTCTACAACAATAAATTATATTCGCTCAGCTATATACACGACCTAATCAGATCTGAGCGATTCCTATAAAATTTTCATTTTCAAATTACGCCGAATAAATCATGAAGTGCATAAAGGACGACAACAGTACTGCTATAGATTTTCAAACCACAAATAAATATGAAATTAGTACCAGTTCAGGTGGTTTATGTGGAGGACTAGGATCGGTCATCAATGTAATAAATTCATCCTCACTGATATTTGCCACTTTTGGCACATAATCAATTCGTAGCCTTATTTCCGTGATCTTGGATAAAATATATTCACAATACGAAAGCAGTTGTTCCGGATCGCTTATACCCTGTTGCTGGTGCCAACGATCTACCGATTTCGTTAAACTTGTCATCAATGTATAGGTCCTGTAAAGAAATTGAATCATCTCTACTCTCCATGTACTAATCAGCAGGCAAATTAAAGCAACCAGCTTATATCACAGCCAGAGTTCTTTGCAAACTTTCCATCAGGGAAAAGAAGGTCCATAGAGATAAATAGTTAGGTTAGCCACCTGATCAATTAATTCGTGCTGCATTGAATAACAACCACTTCTTAGAATTCTGTAAAATTACTGATGGGCACATAAAAAAAACACATAAAGAGAAAAAAATCCAAAACATAAACACACCTCAGCAGTAACTCCTGGACCAGTTCACGACCAATACATGCCAAAGAAGCAACTGAGTATTTCGAAAGATCATTCAGGATCTCGGGAGAATATGGTGGAGGATTTATTGGCCGAACTGTTTTCGTTTCTTCTTTTTTTGATTTTTCACCCGCTTGATCCGCTGCTCTACAATTTTATGGCTTTAATATTGGTATTTACCTTCTCTCTTGCTACTTTTGTACTACTTTATAATATCAAAGTGTTCTGCACACCATGAAAAAATATCACCATCAGTTCTTCTTAACCAATAACATCCTCATGCATACCTTTGAGTAGACTGTTGTGATTGCTGCCTTTGTGATTGTTGCTGGGGTTGATAAGACTGTCGATTTTGAAACTGCTGCTGTTGTTGCTGTTGTTCACTTGACGTTTGCGATTGCACTCCAAGCGGATAACTAGATTGAGACTGTGATGATGGTCGCATTCCCGGTGAGCATTCTTGAGGAGTTCCTGCAGAATACGGCCTTCCTGTCATACTCTGCATACTTGTACTTCCACTGTTATATATCTGAGCTGTCGCTACTCCGTGCATATTTATTATCTGCTGTTGTTGCTGTTGCTGACGCTGATCAGTTGTGGATGGTGGATAACCCATCATCATAGCACCACCTGCAGCAATTAGCATTTGAGCAAATGTTAAGCCCCCCTACTACAGCTTTCTTCTACACTTATGCATAAGACCTGCCGCAGTGCTTTTTCCCAACTTTCACATCTGCTCTTATAACGATAATTCTTTGGTTGTCTTTACAGACAAGGTTCGCCCTTAAAACTTTATTAATTCAAAACTGCCATATTACTTTGACCTCTTGATGATGGTAAGAATCGATTGGATAGTGACTTAATTACACTCACTGTATTCATATTGGACAACATGCACCTACTTTTCACCTACGACCAAAAGTAAATACCAATTAAAAGAAACATACTTTGAGTTTGTTGATAATATGCCGGCTGATTCGGACCAACGCCTGAGTTCTGCATCTTCCTGAAGCAAGGATCACTAGTGTCAATAAAACAATTTGCACGATTACTGAATTCACCCTTTGTTTTTTTAATGAGAGTTTATCACACTTTTGTAACCGTATCACTAAATCTTCCATAGTTTTCTTGAACAATGTCAAAATCAAAGCTATTACAGATCTTTTTTCATTCAAATAAATTTTTATCCATTAAAGGAATCAAAAAAGACAATATTAATTGTTGGAATGATAATTTATTTAAGAGATCACATATAAGAATTAAAAATGATTTAAATATAATAGCGAAAGTAAACAGAGACAAATACCACTCACTGAACGTAAACAATTGTCACGAATCACTTTGCATGTTTGTAAATCAGCACTCAAAATTTCTCATTAAAAAAACTTTATTACTATAATGTATTTATTTTCACAAAATTTTAAGCAGCTTTATTTCAGTTAAATATTCGTTATAACAAAAAACATCCTAAAACTAAATACTTAGTTTCATACTTGCTTGTTACATGTAATTTGGGCGTTCTTCAGATCTTGCGGCTGAACCATTTTCTCCTGTAGTTGTTGCAGTTTTATAAAAAAACTAACGATCAAACTCAGATTATCAATGTCTGAGTTTCAAAACCAGGAGCAAGTTTTGCCAGTTCACTGCGAGCCCTGATAAAAGCACCAATTAAAGCCCCAAGCTGTAATCGATCTGAACAACCCTGCGACAGATGATACTCGATATCCGCCATAGAAATCATCAGTCGGCTCAATAATTCTGGTGGTATAATGAGACGGAATATAAAATCATGCATTGAGTTCAATATATCACTGAGTGCAAATGCACGCTCACTTCGAATTTCTTCTATTTCTGCAAAATAAAAAGATTCGGTGAAAAGCTACTCATCTATTTCTGTCTAGCAACTTTTTACCATTCTACAGCATCAAAAGAGCACAAAGTTTGCGATGTAAAACTCCATTAAATAACTAGAAAAAGACTTCGCATGCCTAACTATGTAATTAAAATAGTACTCTCATGGATATTCCCATAATTTGTTTTCAAAAAAGCTCAAATCTTGTTGATGTTTACTAACAATTTTAAAGTATTACTCGTGTAAGCATCTTCTATTGAGTCGTTTAATAGTATTCTCACAATTTTCTCAACATCGGTTGGCAGGGGATAACCCACGCATTGATAAACATTCCGCTCATCAACCGTTTTAAAAGCCATTGCTGTGCTCTGCAAAAGTTATATCGTATTTAGTGATGAGAGCTAAGGAATGTTAGAGACTCAGGCTTCAACTATTTCAGCATCATTCACAGAAAACAGATAGTTATTATAAAAGCAATTACTTAAAAAATAATATTAGAACATTCATCCATCCCTTTACGGATAAAACATTTACCTATACATTATTTGATGCGAGATCATCCGTAATCATATGTTTCTCCCCTCCATCAGCTACTTGTTAGTTGCAGGATATTAATTAAATGCCATATTACTGAGCTAATTCGCCTAGAAACTGGTTGTAGAAATTAACCACTAATTATGAAGTAGGAAACTTTTACCTGCAAAATGTTGATAACCCGTCTCATGTCTCCTTCAGCCAAATTTAACAACGCTTTCTGACCGTCTTCCGTTACAGTCAATGATTCCGCTTGAACAATATGATGCAACCGTGGTACTATTTGCTCCTAAAAGAATACTTCATAATAAGCCTAATAAGCCTTAAATATGCATATTTGTTTTTCCCCTTGAATTAAACATAACGTGAGCATGGTCCATTTGCTGGAATAAATGCAAATATTAGTGCAGTAGCAATATTAAAGAAAAAAACCAACGTTTGAAAGTGGGGCGAAACGTAGACGCGTGCACCGCGACTGAATTGCCGGAATGATTTTCGACAAATAATTACATATAATACAGAATCGAACATTGTCTGTGAATTTCTCAATTACACGTCTGAAAGAAATTATTCCAAAAATAGCAAATACAAATTCTACAGGTTAAACAATATAGTACAAAAGTACCTTAAAGCACTCTGTGCATCCTTCGTCATAGCATCGGCTTCATCCAGGACGACCAATTTCGGTGCACTCTTTTGATTCTTGTCTATATTTAAAGTGCTCGTTTGGGAAAAATTAATGACCTGTTCTCGAATAATCCCAATACCTCGATCATCGGATGCGTTTAGCTATAAAATAAGACCGGAAAAATACTTGAGAATGCAAATATTTAGATATAGTATTTAGATCCAATATGGAAGTGCAACTAAGGAAAGAAAGGAAAATGTTATAAGATAATGTTGATACTATACCAGGAATCAGATCTGTTGAGGATGCTCCAGTGATAGCAGTGGTATCGGAACTTTCCTATTATTTACAAAAAAAAAGCAATGAATCCTTATCAGGCGTAATTTCAAAGAATTGAATTTAAGTGAATAAACCAAAAAACCTCCAAAACCATCGATGGTAACTGCTTCGGCGTATACATCATTCTTGCAGCGGCCAATATGGTACTCGTTTTCCCTGTCCCAGGAGGACCATAAAACAACAAATGTGGTAATCGGTTTTCATTGATCAATTTCATAACTAAATCATATATGTGAAATTTTGCAAATATAATACATTAAGCATCAAAAAGAGCTTTAACCTCATGAATTTCCTCCATGAAGGTATTTCCCGTAACACAAAATAATAAAAAGTGGAGTAACTCACGCGTATCAATAATTTCTTCATGAGCAATGAGTTCGGTGAGGGAAGCTGGACGATACTTTTCCACCCATGGCATATTGACAGCACCATCTCCTCTGACCTGTTCATCCGAAACCATTGTCAACCAAATCACCTGTTCGATCTAATTCAAGCAGCTCTCTCCTACGTATTTCAGTTCAGGTTAGGATGCAAGTTGCAAACGATTGCTTCAAAGGTAACTTTCCAAGTTCATATACTACAAGTCACGGGTGTTCGTTTAATGGGGAGGTATCCAGTAAAGTGTGGTTGCTGGTTTCTATGTTCAGCTTATGTGTTTTTATCATCTTCCTTAAGGGTTCATGTGTGGATCGCTAGCTTTATATCATGTAGTCGATAAGACCAGACCGTGTCTGTCCACGTATATATTGATCTGACCTGATCTAATCTCTGTGTATGCATTTTGTTGATCTAATTTGGTCAGAATAGCAATAGATGAATAATAAGGGTAAGGCCAAATCCCGATGACAACAAATGTGCCCAGTTTTTTTTAAGACTATTTTATGCTTCAGCACCTCTTAAATTTAACAAATAGTGAAAGTATTTAGGCCTGGTGTACAATTACTCTGGTAAGTAGTTTCGCTTACTAACAGGGATTATTGCTAACCACAATTGGTAATTCATTTTTGTTTGCACGTGTTGGTTGCTTGAGATTTATTTCCTGATAAGGCTTAACTCAATTCATTGCTGGCATTAGTTGAAACATTAGAATTCAAATTTCTGCAGGTATTATTTCAGGTTGAAGTTTAAAGATGGACCCTGCTGGAACTGGTGTGGCATCATCAGGTTCATTACGCACAAAAATATCACTAAAGGGTAGATACTCGCAGCTATCGTTAGTGTGCCCCTTTCATTTGATGAAGCCCGAGTTGCCGCGTTAGTTTTATCTTTTTATTTACACTATTTTTAGCTATTAAGACATGAAGATGATGGATAAGAATTAGCCATATCGAAAATTCACCCATTAAAAAAAGCTGTGAGAAGGGCTGGGAAACGTGTTATACACTATCTTTCAGTAAATGGGTCAAGAAGTGTGCTGTCAATTATGACGAGTTTGAAATATTCTCAGTGATACAATCTTTTGCTATTTGTAGTTTGAAAACTTCTCTATGGAAAAGTGACAATCTGAAAGGAACACTCATTCAGTTCAATTTTGTTCATATATATATATATTATATTATATATTATGTTCATATATATATATATATATATATATACATATATATTTAAGGAATTCATTTGATCTAATTATTTGGTACTTTTAAGAGAAAAGGGTTGTATTTATGAACTTTATAGAGCAAAGCGTTTTACTTGGCAGTAATGACCTATTGGCGGAATATGATATGGGCTCATCTTATCAACGGTTTTGTGGCGCAAAACGATTGCGCGAAGATCTTGGCTCCTTTCTCCCGCATCTTGTTGGCAACTTCAATTTTGAAAATGCTTTGGAATTCAGGTTTTCTATTCTACGTCTAATGCTTTCCATTTAAGAATTTCATAATAGATGCTTACTTCTAGCAAACGAACATACCGATGTCTTAAGAAGGTACTAAAACTGGATGATACCTTTTATCCCGGAAGTTTCAATTAAATTGAAACTTACAGAAAACAATTTTGATTGAATGAAATGATTCTCGGTTTTTTTACCGTACTGCTGTGAGAAAAAAGACTGCATCCATGAGTGCATGTCCTGCTGGATTTTTAGTGATTAATGACTTTTATTCTTCTTTATTTTAGTTCGCTGCGGATGTTGGTAGAAAAACCACCGATCACCGGAAAAGAGGTTACTAGTCTTTCTGCGAGTGCGATGGCAGGATTTAGGCTCACACCGGGTGCCGTTCCCGAACCTTACAGGTAAGCATTCTTAAACGTATAAATGCGTTATCATATATTACTTAATTATATCTAGGAAGTAAGTACATAGTGCGGAACAGGAAATAAAATTCATTAGGTCAGCGAACTAAGTTTTATGTAAATTAAATTGAGAGACAAAATGATAAATGCCAAGCTAGAATTTCAAGCAAAATTTTGACATTGCTGTGTTTTTACTTCATCGGCCTTAAATTTGTAGATATTTTGATAATAAAGCAGACGATATAAACGGTGATACAATGAATTATGATGAAAATGGTGAGGAAACAAAACATAAAAGGAAATATAAATGGAGCTTGGATGATCTTGACGGTAAGTTTTATACCTTTTGTCTTTACATGGAAAGCTGTACTTCTATTACGTGTAACATATCGTTCTCTTTGAAGATGTTGATTCGGATCGAAAATACAGGAAGCATCGAAGCGAAGATAAAGATAGAAAGAAAGAAAAAAAGAAGAAAAAGGATAAAAAACGAAAGGTAATTATTCGGTCTACTTGCGTATTGTTCATTAATTTTTTAGGGAAATAACATTGATTAACGCAACAATAATGTCTTAAATATGAATATGATAATGACTAATGTCAAACCATTCTGTTAGTTCCATCAGCATGTAGCCATAATGGTTGTTGAGCTGTCTGCTTTCGGTAACCAGTAAATATGAGCGATCTTTGAAAGTGATTAAGGGCTGTGATAGTTATATTATACAGTGCCCCGACTGCTTCTAATTCCATATCATTTTTTTTCAGAGGGATGCAAAAGAAGAGGACCAAAACAATAAAATAAGAAAGATATGAGGAATTGGGTTGGCTTTGGAGGAAGACATTCTACTTGTTACAGCAATTAATAAATCTGAAAAAGAAAATCAGGAAATGTATCATATAAATAGCTGAGCTCGAATAAGGAGATAACGCATTCGTCGTTTATATTGCGAGTGCATTTTATGCTGGCATGAGTTACTAAATAGTACTTAGTGCTGTTTTTAGCAACGTCATCATCGATGTTTACGCATTCTTTGCTCTCCTTTGTTGAATTGTATGCAAAGATAAATACAGTTGGTTATATTGTATCCAGTGATATGAGAGGGTATCTGGTGCTGCTGTTTGGCTGTTATTTATCCAACTTTCTAGTAATTGTATCGTTTGCTTCTTTTTGCAAAATTCACGCTAACATTCTCCTTTTCTTTTATCTTAATTTTTACCAATATTTGCCCTGTTCGTTTTCATATATTTTAACTTTTGTTGAAGAAAGCTTTCTGAACTCGAGCTTACTATTGATATACATTGTCATCCTACTTATTTAGCACTGTCTGCAATAGATTGTCGTTTATCGCATAATATAAGGTTATCTTTCTGATACAATCAGTGAGTAAGAGACGATTCATGTGAAATACTGCTTATGATTTTGTTATGTTTAAATATAACCTTAAAATGGTAATATAAAGCAAAAAATTTTTGCAGTGAAATTACTGGACCCATTCCAAATTTAAGATATTTTACCGAGATGTTTACTCATTCTTAAATTTGCTTGATTTAGAAAGCGAACCTTTTCTTGACTGTTAGGATACTGTGATGGAAATTGATGGTTTCCTATCAGAGTTTAGCAGTTGTTATATGGAATTTTTTGCTTAATGTTTTTCTTCATATGAAATTTCTTTTTCGTGAATAGTAGAAATAACGCAGGTATATTTAAGATCATGGTAATGAAGTAATTACATTTGAAATATGTGTTATGGGACTTTCATCGTAAATTAGGCTCCTGTTAGAGCTACACAGTAAGCTTTTGAATAATAGGACTTGTATATTTCGCTGAATAATCTACATATATGACAAGACTTTTATCTCTCGTATGCCTCTTTCCATTATCTGATGATCTTTTTGCTATCAGTTGTTTTACGACTATGTTTAAAGCCGAAAACATTTCATAATAAATCAGAGTTATAACATTCGATTAATGAAGCTAAGGAGGACATAGTAGAAAACATAGATTGAGTGATCAATTGCGGATGGAACGGCAGCTGTTAGCAAAAACGTGCTGAATAATTCATCGCGATATTGCAATTGAATTTCATATCGCCATGCCAATGACATTCCAAATCGATTACTCCTATAGTTTTGCTATGAAACGTGCGGGATTCATTTTATTGTTTTGTACCAATGAATTATTACATTTAGCTTCCGGTAGTCATTAGGATTTTTTTCCTCCCTGCTCTTAATATCGTATCTGCCAGAAGAGATGAAAGATGGAAATTTTATCATCAGAATAATCCAAAATGCGAACTAGCCATAGATCATTTCTCTGCAAACAATACTTCGAATGTTAGCAAACATAAAACTATTTTACATGTAAATGTAAAATGATGGGATAAAAGGAAATAATAAATTAAGATCATTCTTGTAAGTATATAATAAAAGGTGAGAAAAAGTTAGATCTATTTCCATCAAAGCTTCCAGTAGGAACAGAGAAAAGTGAAATAATTGTAATGGATTGAAGGATAAAATATAATAATAAAGTTTATTTTTCAATATATCATTATACTAAAATAAGCTATATTTAAAGGAAGCATTGAGAGTAAATCATTCTATCTATTATCTATTGATAGTATAAAGAATTAGTTAGCTATACGCAGATAGGATAGGCTTAAGCATTAAATGCTTAAAAATAATATTACTGGAGACACACGTTATTTGCTTCATAACGATAGGCAAAACATTTAGATCAAAAATCATCATTTAGAAAGTGAAATGAAATGTAAGTCAAAATGATGGCAACCTTCTTCTATCTTCCACTAAATTAATACTTCGAAATTGGAAATATTATTCGATGAATATTAGAGTGAAATGTAACAAGTATATAGAAAAGAATTTTAATTGCTAATAACATAACAACCGTTTTATTTCATCATTTTCAACAACATGTTGCATCAGAATATCTTTCATCTTTATTCGCTCATTTAGATGAACTGTTAAGTCATAATTAACTATAATTAAGAGAGAGAGAGAGAAAGAGAAAGAGAAAAAGATACACTACGACTACTATTAGTTTTGGCTGGAATAATACAATGTTCATGTATATTAGAATATAAGCAGAATGTCAACATTTCCTGAATATTTTTTGTAAACAATTGATTATTAAAGTAATATATTTTCTTGTTAGAGGTTGTTAAGAATTGTTCGTTTAATTTGACAGTTACTAATTTCATTGAAATAATT